AAGTTAATTGAGCCACAGACTCTAAGTAAGTAACATAATGTGTTGACCCGAACAACTCGGAACCCCATCCGCTCACAACTCGATTGACCCGTAACCTGAATGACTCGCAACTCAATTGACCCATAATCCAACTAACCGATAGCCTAACAAAATTTGAACCCGACTAACTCATAACCCGATGGACCCACAACCTGACCAACTTGTAACTAGATTGAACCCAACCCGAACCTGCCCGAATCATTAGACTGAAATCATTAACCCTTCTCCTCTTTTTTGTCACACCACCGTCCACCGAACCCAAACCTCTCTGCACTAATCTTCTTCTTCGCCCACTTCATCGGGTCGGGTCTTCTACGCATCGTCCGTTTAACAATCACCAGTGTACCCGTGGTAACTGGTAAGAATAAGAACATATGCTTCGTTTTTCCTTTAATCAATATATTCCCCTTTCTTTTTCAACAATCTATTCATGATCTCATTTTAATCAAAATATATATATATATATATATATATATATATATATCCTACGTGCAATGAACATGTAACTTCGTTTTGGATGAAAGAGTATATATATATATGGTGGCGTATTCAGTGCACCCACTCATAATTGTCATTCTGAGCATGCGATTCATGTCAAAACGGTATCAATTGTTGCTTATGATATTATGAGCAAGAAGCACATGAATTTAAAAAAACATTCAAAAATTACTTTAATTCGAAGGATTTAAGATTTAGGGATTTAGGGTTAGGGTTTAGGTTTACAATTTGGGATTTTGGGTTGGGATTCAAAATTGAAGGTTAAGGGGTTAGAGTAATAGATTGATTTGTTATGATTTTATGTCATATCATCATATTAGATTGAGAGTACTAATTAAAGTTCAAAATTTGATGTATTATGAACACTTTTAAAGTTGGGTGCACTGAGCGCACCCAAAAAAGTGAGTGCGCCGAAGTAGCCACTATATATATATTCTTTGATAGGGGTTAGGGTATATGATTATTCATCATCATGTTTTGTTACCCACAGTAAATGCACAGGCGGTGAAAAAGAAAGGGTAAAAACATTATTATCATCATCGTTTTTTTGTTAACCCACACTGCATGCATGTAGCATGTATAATCCTTTCCCTTCCTTCTTCTGTTAAAGCTTTTCCATGTTATTTTATTTTCTAAATTAAGGAGCAGGTTTTTAATATAGTTTCTCCCATTTTAATAATGTGACATATGGCCAACAAATCATCAATGACTACACAAGAAGATTCTGGGAGTCCTATGATCACACCGCCGATTTCTGCTTCCACCCCAACTTCAACTCCTGTGGCTGCCTCTGTTGTTGGTGATGGTTCCAATAATCCACCCACCAATCAAGCTGATGATGCGATGGATGAAGGAGCACTCAATAATAGATTCAAGAGTGAAGCTTGGAACCACTTTACAAGGTTTAAAGAAGGTGAGTTGATCAAAGCAAGATGCAATTACTGTAAGAAAGTTCTTGCAGCGGGTGCTAGAAATGGTACAAGCCATCTGATGGAGCATTATAAGAGTTTTGATAAGAATAAAAAGTATATTAGACAACAATTGCTGGTAAAGAATGTTTCTGGGCAAATGTCTACCAAGTCAATTTACAACTTCGGTGAGGCGGAGGCTCGTAAGGCTTTAGCTGCTATGATTGTGTTGCATGAATATCCTCTTGTCATTGTTGATCATGTCTACTTCAGAAAGTTCTCAAGTATCATTCAACCATTGTTCAAGTGCCCATCTCGAAACACTATCAAAAGTGACATATTGAACATGTTCAAGAGTGAGAGGAAGGACTTGAGGAAGTTGATTGTTGCAAATGAAAGTCGTGTGGCAATTACTAGTGACATGTGGACAGCTAGTAATCAAAAGAAAGGATACATGGTAGTGACAGCCAATGCAGTCAAAATCGCGCTTTAAAACTTAAAAACTTAAGATTTTATGCTTTTGGGTCACCAAAACGCTTTCGTTTCCATATAAAAACTTAGGTGTATAAAATTGGACTAAATTGCGCGTTAAAGCTTAAAAACTTACGGTTTTACGGTTCTAGTTCACCAAAACGCTTTACGTTTTTACGCTTTTAGTTCACTAAATGAGTATTCTTTTCATGAAATTAATTATAAAAAGTATATTTTTAAAGTAAATCACTAACAATATGATACATTTGAGATTAAAAGATACATACTAGGTACTTGGATGCATTCTACTTCAATAGAGTAATCTAATTCACCGGCTAGGGTTTTCCCAAATTCATTAGCATAGAGGGAAGAATGGTTTATCGTTAAAATTTATGTTTACGAACTTATTATTAAGATGCTATAAGTTGCTCTACTTTAAACATGAATCGCATGTATTTATTAACTTATCTAAATTCTGTGCATTCATATTTTGCATAGCATATGTCCTACTTAATAGATTTTTAGTTATTTTTCAGTATGCGTCAAAAACTTACGCTTTTACGCTTTGATTCTACGCTTTACGATTTTACCCCTTTTCCGCTTCTAGGTAGAATCGCGCTTTTTACTGCATTGGTGACAGCTCATTTCATTGATGCCTCATGGAGGATGAGAAGCTATATTCTCAGGTATGTATAATTGAATTAAATAATATTGATATAAAATTTATAACCAAACTATAATACTAATTCCTTCTTTTTTTGTTTGTTTGTCAGGTTTTGCTATGTGCCATGTCCACACACAAGTGAGGTTCTTGCAAAGGCTATCCACAAGATCTTGTTTGCGTTGGAACTTGGATAGAAAGCTATCTACGGTAACTTTAGATAAATGTTCCACTAATGAGCTTCTTGTTGAGTTGCTGCAGATGCGGATTCTGATGATGAATTCCAAATTTGACATGGATTCTTTATATGTACGGTTTCAATAACTTCTCCTACAATATTAGAGTTTATTTCCATTAAATTTGTTGATAAAAATTGGTGCCCATGTTATTAAAAATCTCATGTTATGGCTTTGTGTGTGTTTACCGTTATGGATATGTGGGAGTCTGTGAGATAAATTGGATTATTGGAGTTGCCTGCATTTGGACAAGTGGATAAGGAGTTGTAGGTGGCAGTTTTTATGTTCTTTCATGATTAATAGACCTTTTTTTTAGAATGATTAATAGACTTTGTTTCTCTTTGAAAGAGAAATTTTGGAGGATAACTTGACTTTTATGTGTGGATTTTTATTGTTTATGAGGTGTTTTGGAGATGAATAATTTGGTGTTAGATTATTTATTGGTACTTTGTTTATGGAACTTGGTAGGAGTTGGATGATCTAATTAAGATTACTAGTGGTTCTTTATTAGGTTCATCATTGATTAGGTTTGATGTTTCAACCCAATAGTTATATGTTTTATTGAATTCAAGTGTGTTAATTTAGTTATAACATAATCAGATGTACGGGGCGGGGATTACCCTCTGGTATCCGAAACCCGCGGGGATGGGGATGCAAAATCTCTCCCCGCATGGGGATGGGGAGGGTATTGATTTGATAATTGAAAATGGGTATGAGGATGGATTTAGTACAATCCTCCCCAAACCCGACCCATTGTTATCCTTACACCTAATGGATCAAATTAATTTTGAGATGAGACAAAAAAAAATCCCATTTGGCATCTAATGATCGAAAGTTTGAAGGTAGGGTGAGTTAGGTTGAAATTGTCATCTAAAGAGGAAAAATTAAACAACCAGTTAATGAGTTCCTCTGGGCTAGGCCCATTATCAAATTCAACAGCCCATATCAATAACTAGTCGTTTTTAAGGCTTCCTACTGGAGGCCTGCCAATGCTATTGCTACTGTGCCAGCGTGGGTTCGCGATCAACGTCTTTGAAACTTTTGGCCTTTTACTGCTGTGATAAATAAAAACAGTTCATATTACCAAAAAAGAAGGGGGGAAAATAAAGAGCTCACTCCTAGAGCTGCAAGCGCAAGGGCTGGCTCGCAGTCGAATCCCCAATTGCTTCTTCTTTGCCCTTCAATCACCCATCTTCGGCATTCCTCCCAGAAGCATAGGTTCTCTCTTTCAACACTCACTTTCCATTTATTACCCTATCAATTGAATGGGGTTCGATTCTTTCATCCTCTGCATGCAGACTGAACCCATAGAAAACCTTGGATTGTGCAAAAGCAATCCAATCCCACGACCTGCTGTAGATTAACACAGATCTCCCTCGCAACTATCATTTTTGTTGTGCTCTTCTTCCTTCTCTACAGTTTACGCACTTGTTTTATGGCGTTTGTTCACTCTGCACTGCTAGATTACCGAGAACCAGTTTCTGGGTTTTGTCGTGGAATATATGTTTCGGGATTTTACGCGATAAAGGTCGCATTTTCTCGGTTTGAAAAATAATGCTATTGTGTTCTGTGAATGCTCTTCACCCATTTCTTCTTTGGGAAGACAACTCTTGCTTTTCCTGGAATGGGTATCGATTCTGATCTTTTCCCTCTGAATAGGTATGGGGTTACTTTGGGTGAACTCTTTTGTTTGCTATTCTGGGTTTCGACGCATGCTCCTCATTTTCTTGTTAACCATTAATGCTTCCAAGTTTTCTTGTTACAAAGAGAGGGGCCTTTAGATTTGCATTACAGTAAATCTCTTGCTAGCGTTATGTTCATCTTTTCTCTTCAAACTTCAACAAATTGAGTTCTTGGTACCACGATAGAATGCACTTTGTTTAGAAGCTATGTTTATTTCTTTGCTTGCTTATTTGCTGCAGCATTTATTTTGAGGCAGTTCATGTAGCAATGGGAAATGATGTCATGGGTCAAGGTGATTCAATAACGAATCATTTGTCTGTGGTTATCTACATTGATTACCCAAGGACATTCTTTCCCTTTGGAAACAAAAGATCTAAGTTGTTACCTGTGGTTCTAACCTTGCGATTATATATCTGCTAATGTGTTTCTGCATTCTGTCGTTGACTGATACATTATTGCTTGTGTGCTTTTTATTAGATGACCCCTCCACAGAAGAAGAGAAAGATGTTGGTTGTTGATAGTGTTGGTGCCGCATTAAGCTCCGATGATGTCTTATGTGAGATACTAATTCGGCTACCTCCAGCAGAAGTCTTCAGATCATTGCTCGTATCGAAGAGGTGGCTTCGATTCATCTGCAGCTCTGGTTTTCTTCAGTTTTACCTGAACCGATGGCCAGTGAGTTATAGGTTGCTGGGTTTCTTCGTTTCCAACAATTTGTATCTCAAGAGACCGAAAGATGGGCAACGTAGGCCAAAATCCGAACCTGCTCTTCCTCTACTACCAACTTGCAAGGAAGGTGATGACTTATCATTCTCTGGCATCCTCAAACAACTTGGTTACTTAATCGACTCTTCCAATGGCCTTCTTCTCGGTGGGCGCCATCCAAAATCCTATTCCGTTTGGAACCCAATAACCAACAAACATCAGAAACTGCCACATCCCAGGGTTTATTTCGAAGAGCTGTGCATGGCATTTCTTGTGGATGGTTATCCCATTGAGGATATGTGCTACAAAGTCATCCGTGCTAAATGTGAGTGTATAATCGATGATATCAAAACGGTCTGCATCGAGACTTACCATTCCAAGACGAGGACATGGTACTACTCCATACTCACTTGTTCTTCATCCTTAGCATTGTGCCCTTGGATGGCAGGCACTGTAGTTAGAGGGGTTGTTCACTGGTATGCAGCTATGGGAAATCTAGCGATATATGATGCACAAAGTGACGAGAGGCGCATAGAGGTGATTAAACTTCCTGGTTCAAATGATTATGAGGAGCGTGCTCTAGGGGAGTCTTGTGATGGACTTGTGCAATATGGGTGGAGCAATGAGTCGGGCATGGAGATATGGGTTCTCAAGAGTAGTGACCAAGGCATTTCTTCGAGCAATTGGAACCTGAGGTACAGGTTGAAATTCAAGACGATGTGGAGGAGGAACTTAAGAATGGTGGCGGCGGGAGGTTGCAGGTTCGATAAAGAAACTCAGATATTGTCCTTCTACCCAAAGGACTCAGATTCTGTCTACATCAGGTCTGGTTCCGAGATATTTATATATCATCGTGGAACGGAAACAGTAGAGCCTGTTTCTTATCATGGACGTGGGTCTTCCATAATGTGGGATTTCAGCAAAGTAGTGCCTTACTTCAGACCTTGTTGGCCTCATTCTTCTGTGTGTGGTGCGACATAATTTGGTTCTTCTTTTCTTTCTCCTCAACCACCTGCCATGTAGATCCTCTGTGATATATCTAGTAGTTTCCATGGAACCCATGTCTCTGACCATTTTGGACTCAACTTCTTGCTTGTTAATTGGTGACTATGAGGCCCTTCACTGTCTCTATTTCATCTTATGCATGTTGGTTCTGTATGCTGTAGAGGCTAGTTTATGTATATGGATTTGACTGGATTCTTAACACGCGATCTTCGGTTGAACCTCTTTTGTGTTGCGATTTACGGGTTAATGTCTGATACGTTTCTGATAACATGGAGATGATGATTGACGAATGGGTTTATGAAAATAGGTTCGTTGGTTTATCGCCAACCGTTAAGAAGAAGACTGTTAATAACTGAAAAGTTTAGGTATTAAAATTTAAAATATAATAGACGAAATGCTTAACTGTTGAACTGTTAATTTCATGGGAGTCAATACAGTTAAGAATCATAAAATCAAATTGTAAAATTCTTTCCAATTTTCCTATCATAGCATCTGATTATAATGTTACATAACAATCTGGTAATAGAACTTGTTTTCACTGCCTGGCTGGCAACTTTACATACGAACAAAACTTGAAGTTCCATCAACTTCCCATGGTACCCATCCAACTCATGACAGGCCAAGAAACTTGCTAGTCCTTCAAGCCTAGGAAACACAAAGCTACTTCTGCTTGGGCTTGAAGCTCTTCCAAGACCTTCAGAATGCTCTCCCTACTCATATTCGTCTCGCTTTGGTCCAACAACATCTTCCTCAGTCTTCAATAAACGACAGAAGAAACAAGGCCCGATATCAATTGATTGAGAAGTTATGTGAAAGCAAAGAACTGATGTTTGAAATAAAATCTGATGAACTACTCACTTACGGACGATTGCAGTATCTCCATGGCCAGTGCAAATGATGAGCATGGTATTAGTGGGTAAAGCTGCATACAGCCCACGAATCCTTCCATTCAAGCGAGTTATGATGTCCTTCAACTCAGTTGTCATCCCACAATGAATGCCTTTCTTATTGACAGACTTCTTCTCACACGTAAGCAGCGATAGCATCTCAGCAAGCTTTCCATTCAATTTCTCTTCATCCTCCGCTTGATTTTCGTAAAATGAATTCAACTCCGAGAATTGGGTCCAGATGAAATGTGTCCGGTCGTTCTTCACCTACAGGCACACACCACTCAGTTTAACTAAGAGCTCCAATAACAGGAGAGGTTTGCTTGCGCTCAATTATCAATTTACCTCCTTTTTGGCTTTCATAAGGGCTTCATCATCTGAACATACAGCAAAAGCATTGGATGACTCGGAAGAGTAGCGCTTTACTATGGAGATATCATCGATTATGGAGGAGGTTTTGCCACACTCGGCCAGCGTTGAGAGGATCTTTTTCCGCGTAAAAGATGGAGAACCGAAATCGGGTCCTAGTAAAGAGCCAGGAAAAAAGTCAGGAAAGACTACACTAAGACACCAAAGCAAGAATAGTTGGAAGGAGACCCACCATTTTTTATCTTTAGCAATGCAAGTTCCAATGCAGCTCTTGCATCTTCAATGCTGTCATGTCCAGCACCAGATTGTTGTATCTCCCTGGAGAGGAATTTCTTGGCAAGAATTCGAAGGGCAGTTTTATAAGAGCCACCTCGTGGATGTTTGTATAGCACAGCAGTATCGATCACCAATTTGTGAGAGATCTTTAAAGCTAATAAATCGTTCTCAAGGGAATGACCGACGAGGATGGTTTCTTGGTTAACCAGATTAAGAAAATCATCCTGATGAATAGAGATATAGAAATGGCAACTAAATAAGCAAAGTTTACCTGAAAAAGAATCACATTCCAAAGAAGAACAAACATCACATGACAAACCTGAACATCTTTAAGAGTCGTGGTCACCTCATTCAGCATTTCACTTGTAATTCCACTGAATCTGCATAAGAGTAATGAATACAACCTTGTTACTTTCAGTTAATCATAGAAATAAGTGCTCTATAGGTGACAGAAATTATTCTAAGCACATACATTTTAAGAGTAATTGAAGATGTCACAGTGTTTCTCTGTATACAAGAGCATTAAAGGGAATATGCATTATCAGAATGCCCACATTTGAAATACGTAAAATATATAAATAAGGTTGATTGTAAAACTAGTACAAATGAAAATCTTGACGTTTTTGAAACCACCAGGACCGTTCCGCAGATTAGAAAAAGCAGACAGGGCAGAAACACAGTTATACACATCTCAGATGCAAGTAAAGGTAAAAGCCAGGTTAAGAAAACTTACCTTGTATTGTAATCAACAATATCATTAACTGGTTTGACCAATTTATCCAACAATACCTGCAAGGTCGAGACAAGGATAAATAAATTTTCCAGCAGCAAAAAAAAGAAAAAAAAAGAGCGAGATTTATTTCTGGAAAAGCCAACTCAAAATCAGGGGACATTAAATTAAAATGATTAGAGAACTGTATAAACCATAATCGGACGTCAAAATATTTCCTGCTCAAAGCAATAGAAAATAAGCAGCACCAGTTACAATATGACAGCATTGTGAAACTTGAACATTTGACAACCATAACATGCTGAGTTCGCATCCCCTAATTTCTAAGCCAACTTAAAAGGGACAATAGGAGGCATGATTGCATCTTCAACAGAAGTATTCATTTCATTTTAAACCATTAAAAAGAATATCAAACAAAGAGCATGTCCAATGACACGAGACGTATAATTCTGGATAACATACCTGTCCTGCTACATCCACCAGGGTTATTCTTGTTAGCTCAAAACCATCTTTGGTGACACACTGTCAATAGAGAATGAAGAAGTTAATTGAAAGTCGTGTTAAGTAATTCGCCAAGCAAAAATGTTCAGTCTTAAGTGAAATACTAACAAACTTGACGAATATTTAAGCAGGAAGATTCTTTTTTATATGAAATTAGAATGACTATGATCTGATAAACATATGGTTTTACAGTACTGAAAAACTAGCTCAACCTTGAAATGCCAATAAAAGGATAATGAGTGTCTAGTGAAGTCCGAAGTTCTCCCACTCAAATAGCTTTCCTAATCAACATTTCATCAGTGCATTGAGAAATTCCGTATGAAAGCAGTTCATCTGAATTTAGCAAAATAGCAGACAGTTGCCTCTTATGGTTTCGTTCTTTATTATTTACCACCATCTCACAGCCACATCTAGTTCATAATGCATGCTCTGAGTAGTTAATTTCAGTCCAAACAGTTTCTTAACTTTCAGCATAAGTCACATCTTACCATTTCACAGTCAAGTGCCAGGATATCATATAGAGGAGAGCTACCAGGAGTAGGAAGGGTAGAGAGAAAGCCTAGAAAAGAAGAAGAGTTGGAACAAAAAATTACAGATGCTAGAAGGATAAAGTTAAGGACATCAATATGAAGAAAGCAACAAAATAAGGAAACAACACCCTGGAACTTACCTGGTTGGTCAAGACAATACCCATTGGTCTCTAGTTGTTCAGATGTCAATGTATAATATGCCGGGGGGAAAGGCACCCCTTTCACAAGCTCTGAGAAAGAAAAAATTTCAAGGCCTGAAGCACTCCTCTCTGCAACGTAATGATACATAAATCCATATGAGAAGCAAAATTCAGAAGTCTTTCGAAATAAGTTATTTAACATATCACATTTGGAGGACACATCTGATGTCAAATCTGTCCTCTAATTTTATCTCTCTCTCTCTCTCTCTCTCTCTCCCCTAACACAGACACAGATCACACATATGTATACAGATTGTAAGACATACAGATAGGGATATTTATGATGTAAGCATATAGCAACAACCAAATTGCTTGAGAATTTCTACACAGCCCATGTTCAGCTAAAGACTACCAAAAACGGCTAAGATAGAGAATGATGCCCGAATATAACAAGCATGCTCATGAAATTTTATTTTTTTAACACAATGAACACTATCTCGACCACCTTGTTCAGAAGCTGGGGCAGGTTTCTTTGCACCTGAATCAACTTCATCTCTCTTTCGTTTCGACTTGCATGTTAGAAGAGCATCTATTGTCTGCGTTCGATCTGTTACACAGCTAGCAAAGAGAAAAAAGATGACCCAATTCTGTAAGGTTGAATGTTGCAGAATAATAACCATCAGTAATGATAGAGCCAGAAAGAAAATAGAGAAGTGAAGAATCATTACCGACCTAATAGCTAACTGTGCCTTTGGTTTACCACAGCATTCTTTAAAACCAGCGAACAACTTGGGCTTCGATAAGTACAAAGCTGCATCTAGGCCAGGCACATAAGCCATAACCACTTTTGGAATAAGAGGCTTGTTCTGTAATATGAAAACATTATTTATTCACTCAAACTACAGAATTGGAACTCAGCTTATGAGGGCAAGGATGAAACTTCAGAAATGCTGAGAAAATGGGTCAGGGAAAATCAACATGCTATGGATGGATCTGAAAATGCATTTCAACAAATGGCATAGAAGGCAGCTAAATAAGTATTGAGGAGAAGTAGTCTTTCACCAGAAAACGGTGACACACAAGAAGTCATCAGGCCCCAAATAGACAGCCACATAACCTTGAGATTATCCTTCGATTTTCCTTTTCAGAGTTCCAGCCTCAATCTTTGAGTTATTGCAGACTGATTTGCTCAATAAGCACCTTAACCATGGTCATATATTAATTTATTTACATTTTTCCAAAGGGAGGCCAATAAGTTCCTTACCTTAATAAACACCCAAGAAGGCATGAACCCTTCAGCAAGCACCCAGGTCACAAGTCCTTGAATATCCTATTTAGGGAAATAGAGCATTAGTGACCAAACATCAACATAAATTCCCATCATAACGCCTCTCTTTCATAGAGATTGAAGACAGATTACTGTATGACCTACCTGCAGATTCAGTTTCAAGCTAGCTTCTGGAGTCTTGAAAGCAATTTCTGGCTTCACCTGAAAAACAAAATCAACACAAGTATATCCCGATGAGAAAACCTCAAACAATACGGTCCGGAAACAGTAGTAAGCAATCATTATCCTGTGCAAGGCACCACAACGTTGTATCTTTCTTTAATTCAATGTCATTCAGAGAAAATCCTTTCCCCATAGCTCAGTAGCGAACTCAAAGCCAGAAAATCTACTGCCAACCGTGAAAGCAGCAAGTGAAATATTCAGCTAATCAAATATAATTATAACCACCCATTACTAACCAATTTAAAGCATGAAAAGACCTATAAGAATAAGAGCCTGGAAATAGAATCCCCAGCCCAATTGCATACAATAAAACCCCAAATTCCCAAACTCTCTGCACTACTTCTTCACTCCCACAATGATAAAAGAGTATCGCAGTACAAACAAACTCGAGCAGGTATAACTGGAAGAGCTTTCTATCAGAACAATGAATGAGAAGGGAAGAAGTAAGGAAGGAAAGGCAATACTTGAGGTCCATAGATGTCGAAGTATCGGTTGCTGATGGATGCTTTGTTGTTTTCGCCGCCGTCGTCGGTGACCTCGTCCTTCTTTGCAGCCACGGCCTCGCTTCGGCGCTCCGGCGACGACATATTTGGTTGTTCTTCCGTTGCTCCGGTGATACCCGGAAATAAAAGCAAAACGACACCTCCATTATGGGGTCCATTTTAAGCCCAGCCCAAATATAAAATGGGCTCACTTTGGCCTAGCACAAAATCAAGGACGCCGCTTTTAAGCCTAGAGAAAGAGAGCATAAAAAAAATTAAAAACTTTTCGAGAATCTGCGCTCAGAAGCTTTGTAACACCCTAGACCGGCCGGTGACTAATTTTACCAAAATACCCTTGTTATTAGTCGAATAATAAATGCATAAAAGTCCCATAAACATTATTCCAAAATACAAGGAAAAATCCATCTTAAAATAGTATTCAAACATAATCCTCATTAAGTCTCAAGTCCACCAACAATGCATAAACTTAAACAAGTTCCGCTGGAAGCTCTTCGGGCCACTAACCCTTGTGATGACATCTGGGGCAGCAGCTATGTTCCTGCGATTGATCTGGGTGCTCCTGGTTTCCTGCAGCTCCTGAGTGCGGGCGTTGGGGTCAGTCCTAATCCTAGTTTCGCTTTAATGTTGAAGACTCTTAATAGCAACACTGGAATAAATAAATATACTCATGCAATGCTTCATGCTTAAATTTAGTATTCTTATTACTTGTTGTGAAAGGGGGCCCCGAACTCTACTCAACTAGCACACTAACGGCCACCAAACGTAAACTTCCACCTGATGGGAAGATATAACATGGGTGTAACTTCCACCTGACGGGAAGTAACACAATTATAACATGAATGTTAACTTCCACCTGGCGGGAAGTAACATAATCCTGAACTTGACTTCCACCTGACGGGAAGTAGGGTAGCCGCGTGCACTAGTCAAGTGAGTAGTTAAAAACATGTTCTTACTTGATAACTTGGTAACATGGAACGTAAGTCCATAATCTTGCTCAAAACATAACTTCATGATGGAATGCAATGACATGCTTACTAACATAAATACACTTACCGTGGACATACATATAGAGCGTAACTTAATTAAATAACATAATTAGATAAATTAAAGCGAAATACTAACTAGCCCCTCAAACCACGCACCTTATTAATTCAAGAAGTTATAACGTGAAGGTTGGGGCCCTTGACTTAGTTGATTCCTCTTGACCCTATGGTGAAATTCAAAGTTAGATTGGTTGAGTTTTGGGTTCTTAGCGACGGCTTTCTCAACTTGGGAATACTTTGCAAGATGTGCAAAGTATGGTATACTAATGTACCAATTAATCTAACATATTAGAATCATTATTCTTTACATATAATAATTAAGGTCTTAATCAATCTTAATCATTGAAAACTAATTGTGCTACAGTAAACCTACGCAGGTTAACCTTAGATTATACTAATCAATTTATCAAACTAGATAACACATTATTTACCCATTAACTAATCCTATTAATTCATTCATCACGTGCTAGCAACATTACTCATATTATCATAACTCCCTTATACAATTCATTATCATCTTAAATCGTTCTAATTTAACTCGTCATAATATCTAACCTATCAAAGCTTATATTTTGCTAACTGATAACTTAAATCATCTTAACCTATTAATTTCCTAAGAGAATCATTTAACAACAACGTTAATCATATTATGGGATCAAACATATAATTAATCAAACTAACTCATTTTATTAGTTACTAAAATACTTTAACATCCTCATACGTCCATTAGTAAGATACCTAGTAAATCATTTACAATTAAATCCAATTGAATTAAAATGTAAATTACTCTACAGTTCATTTAGCTACCGCCGCCAAAACAGTCACTAAAAACTATGAATCTCGTCCCTAAAAGGGATGTCACTGACACTGGTTGGCCAGACTATAGCCACGGCGGCTGTTTTGTTGCTAAAAGCCTGTAATTCCGTCGCTAATTTCCCAGATTTCTACAAAGACGCATAACTCGCATAAATGGTGCCTTTAGCGAGAGGGATTGAGCTTCCTTACCTTCAATACGAGTCTAGGCCTAGGTAGGAAGCCTTAGGACCTCAGTTCCTTGTTTGGATCGTCGATTGATCACCCCGCTCTTTCGCCGCCGAAGCTACGCCGTAGAAGACCTTTTGTTTGTTAGTTATGTAGCCTTGAAACTTGAATGACGAGGGGATTCGTTTTGCTTACCTACTGGTCCAGAGAGAATGGAAGGTATCAAGTCAGTAGCTACGACTTGCTTCCTTTTCCTTCGGTGATGACGATTATGGCGATGATGAAAGGTGAATGGACCAAAGGAGGGAGTGAGTAGATGATGATGGGATGAACTTCTGGTCTTGAGAGTTAGCAGTACTGATGGGAGGTATTGAGATTGGGAGGAATGGCTTTGATGGTGCAATTTCCGGGCGATCGGGGGAAGAAGGATCGTTAATTTATTGAACTGAAGAGAAGGATTTGTGATAGGGAGGGTGCACCGACACCATTGCCAGCTCCTCATGTCCCTCCAATTTAATTTCCAACTCCCCATGTCAGAGGCATGAATGGGGTTATTACATTTCCTCCCCGTTATAAAAATTTCGTCCCCGAAATTGAGAAACTGGGTGCATAAGAAGTTCATGATTCTTCACTTTTATTACCGATCATATCTTATTACCGCCAACAAATCATAATCAAATTATACCGATTACAAAGGTATGTCAAGAAACAACTCAGGATAGTTCTTCCTCATGTCCTCCTCGATCTCCCAAGTGGCTGCTTCTGTGCCTTGGTTCCTCCACACCACCTTCACCATTGGAACCTTCTTCCTTCGTAGCTCCTTATCTTGGCGGTTGATGATCCCGACTGGTATCTCATTATAGGTCATGTCACTATCCAGTTGAATATCTTCTAACTCCACGATGTGGGTTGGGTCGGATCGGTACCCTTTGAGCATGTTGACATGGAATACATTGTGGATCTTGGATAGATTTGGAGGTAATGCGAGCCTATACGCCAGAGGGCCTACTCGCTCCAATACTTCATATGGTCCAATGTATCTTGGACTCAACTTGCCCTTCTTTCCAAATCTCATAACCCCTTTCCATGGAGAAACCTTCAAGAATACCTTATCTCCCACTTCATGAGTCCTCTCTTCTCCTGGCTTGTCTGCATAGCTCTTTTGACGATCCTGAGCAGCTTTAATGTTTTCTCGTATTTGCTTAATTTTGTCGACTGTGTCTTGTACTAGTTGTGGGCCCTCAATTTGCCTTAATCCTTCCTCATCCCAATATAGGGGAGATCTGCACTTTCTCCCATACAAGGCCTCATATGGTGCCGCCTTTAGGGAGCTGTGGTATTGATTATTATAAGCAAACTCCATCAAAGGGAGATACTTGTCCCCCGATCCCCTCATCTGCAATGTACAAGCTCTCAATAAATCCTCCAACGTTTGTATCGTTCTCTCTGTTTGTCCGTCAGTCTGAGGATGGTAGGCAGTTGAGAAATGGAGCTTGGTTCCCAAAGCCTTGTGAAGGCTCTTCCAGAATTGGCCAGTGAAACTAGGATCCCGATCTGATACAATAGTTAAAGGAACTCCATGTAGTCGTACCACCTCTTGTATATACAAGTCAGCCAATGCATCCACCCCTGGCTTGAACTTGATGGGGATGAAGTGTGCTGACTTAGTGAGACGATCTACAATCACCCAAACTCCATCGTTACCCCACTCCGTCCTCGGTAGTCCATAGACGAAATCCATGGTGATGTGTTCCCACTTCCACTCTGGTATCTCAAGTGGCTTTAGCTTCCCTGCTGGAGCTTGGTGCTCAGCTTTCACCATTTGACAGACTAAACACTTGTGCACAAACTCAGCTGCCTCCCTCTTCATATTGGGCCACCAGAAATGTTCTTGCAAAGTCCGGTACATCTTGGTCGATCCTGGGTGCATGGAATAAGGTGCACAATGAGCTTCATCCAGGATTTCTTGCCTTAAATTCTCCACGTTAGGTACACAAGCTCTGCCCTGGAAGAGTAACATCTCATTTGTTATTTCAAACTTAGTATCTTTCCCATCTTGTACCTCTTGAATAAACTTGACCAAAACTGGATCATCCTTTTGCTTCTCCTTAATTCGATCATGCAATAGTGGTCTAATCTTCAAATTAGCCATCATGCTAGTAGCGTCCTCCAGTTGTAGTTCCACATTCATAGCTCTGAGTGCCACTAGCTTCTGTATTGGGCCGTGCTCCTTCCTGCTCAGTGCATCTGCCACCACGTTGGCTTTACCAGGGTGGTACTCGATAGTACAATCGTAATCACCCAGCAATTCCACCCATCTTCTTTGTCTCATATTCAACTCCTTCTGATCCGTGAGATGTTTCAAACTCTTGTGATCTGTGAAGATCTTGAAAGTCTCACCATAAAGATAGTGCCTCCATAGTTTTAGAGCAAACACCACGGCAGCTAACTCTAGATCATGGGTTGGGTAGTTCACCTCGTGTGGTCGTAATTGCCTTGAGGCATAAGCAACCACCTTTTGATTCTGCATAAGAACACATCCCAACCCCTTGTATGATGCGTCACTATAAATGGCATACTCTCCGTCGTTTGATGGTAGTGTGAGTACTGGTGCAGTAGTGAGCTTCTTCTTAAGCTCCTCAAATGCTTCATGGCATTCTTCACTCCAGACATAAGTCACTCCCTTGCGCAATAGTTGGGTCAAAGGTCTTGCAATGCGAGAGAAACCCTCTACAAACCTTCTATAGTACCCAGCCATGCCAAGAAAACTTCTCAATTCTGGAACACTTTTCGGAGGTGCCCAATTGACCACTGCCTCAATTTTCTTTGGGTCTACTTCAACTCCTCTTCCAGAAACCACATGGCCCAAAAATAGCACTTCTTTTAGCCAAAATTCACATTTAGAGAACTTTGCATACAGTTTCTTTTCCCTCAGTATCTCCAATGTGATCCTCAAGTGTTCTTTGTGCTCCTCGTAGTTCTTCGAGTATATGAGAATGTCATCAATGAATACGATGACAAACTTATCCAAATACTCGTGGAATATGTTGTTCATTAGCGCCATAAATGCTGCTGGTGCATTGGTCAACCCAAAAGGCATTACCAAGAATTCATAGTGACCATATCGAGTACGAAAAGCGGTCTTTGGAATAGAGGATTCACCAACTCGCAACTGGTGATACCCAGACCTTAGATCAATCTTAGAGAACACAGAGGCACCCTGAAGTTGATCAAATAAGTCGTCTATCCTTGGTAGTGGATATCGGTTCTTCACCGTTGCCTTATTCAGCCTCCTATAATCAATACACATCCGCATACTTCCATCCTTCTTCTTCACGAATAATACTGGGGCTCCCCACGGAGAGATACTGGGTCGGATGAAACCTTTGTCTAGTAGCTCTTGCAATTGTTCCTTCAGTTCCTTGAGTTCCACTGGTGCCATCCGGTACGGTGGTATCGAAATTGGTGCAGTACCCGGAATAACTTCAATGTCAAACTCAATCTCTCTTCTTGGGGGTAACCCGGGGAGGTCTTCTGGAAACACGTCCGGGAATTCTTTCACGATGTCCACCTCTTCAAGATTCACTTCTGATGTCGTAGTAACATGGGCAAGATAAGCTTCACAACCATCTTGTATTAGTGCGAATGCTGTGGTTGCGGATATCAAACTCCCTGGAACGGCCCTGCGCATCCCCTTGAACACAGCCGTTCCTCTTCCTTCTATGTCAAACCGAACCTCCTTGTTGAAACAATCCACCAACGCCCTATGCTTGGATAGCCAATCCATTCCCAAGATGGCGTCAAATTCGTTGAAAGGAAGCAGCATAAGATTCCCCTCGAGTTCATACCCAGCGACCACTATTATGCACCCTCTGACTATCGAATTAACTATCAATGTATCACCTACAGGTGTACGCACCCCCAAATTCTGGCTGAGGTTCATAGGTGCCATGCCTAAGACTCTAGCAAAAGCAGTAGATATGAACGAATGCGTAGAACCAGGATCTATCAAAGCAAAGGCAGGACGATCATGTATATAAACCGTACCAGTCACCACCTCTGGGGCTGCATTGGCCTCTTCTCTCCTCATGGCAAAGATTCTGGGTTGACCGCCTGCCCTGGACATCTGACTCTCGTCACGACGGCTATTATAGTTGTTGTTGTTGTTGCTGAAATTGCTAGTCCTGCCACCGAGCCTCCCGCCTGAATGTGGCCTACCTCCAATGATCGAGGGCTCATAGTTCATCCTGGTCTGGCTCATGAGTTGTGGGCACTGTGGTTTAATGTGGCCCGGCTCTCCACAATGGAAGCATAGACCCAGAGGACGTCTACACTCGCCTAGATGGCGCTTTTCACACTTCTGACAAATTGGATATGTTTGATGTGTTGGTGCACTCCTGCTGGAGCCCGCTTGGCTCTGTGTCTGATGTTGAGTGATGGAACCAGAACCCCTCTTGAAATGGTTGGTAGAGTGGGTTTGGCCCCCCGTGTTAGTGGGCGCCTTCCTCTTCTTAGTCTCAAACCTGGCAGTCCTCTCCTGTTGGGCAATCTTCTCGTCCTTTTCTATACGGAGTGCAGCACGATACGCGGATGCTTTTGTTGCCCTCTCAGCTTCTCCCATGCTCCTCTTCAGATCTGCTCTCAACCCCATGACATATCGGTCACGTTGTCCCTCCGCCGTCTTGTATGCGGGATCAGCATATCTTAGCAGTTTCTTGAAGCACTCTGTATACTCCGCAACAGATTGTCCCCACTGCTGTCGTAGGGACATAAATTCTTCCATCTTCCCCTCTCGAACAGTGTCTGGAATGTACTCATCACGAAACACTTTCAAAAACTGGTCCCAGGTAATAGTTAGAGGCACCTCTTCACTTTCCGGTTGGGTGTGCCACCAGTCCCTTGCTGTACCCTGCAGTACGTGCACTGCCATGGCAATCCGATCCTCATGGTTATCGATACGCAGCTCATCAAGGGTGCGAGTGAGCTTCACCAGCCATGCGTCCACCACTTCAGGATTGGAGGATACTTCGAAGTCAACCACACTCATCTTCCTCAGTGCAGCATAATTAGGAATGGGACGTTGAGCAGGTGCCCTGGCTTGGGGGTTACCAACACTTTGGCTTCTGCAGTGAAATAAGACCTTGTATTAGAACTTCCGAAGCGTTCCAACTTATTAGTGGACGAGACTTAATGCTTTAAAGAAATCGATTTGATTTTTCTTGAAAATCTTATTGCAAATTGTTAAAACCTTTAAAACTCGATTGAAAACATGCAGACCGACTTCCCAGTATCTCACTTAATAGTGAGACAGAGGGAAACCGGCTCTGATACCAAAATGTAACACCCTAGACCGGCCGGTGACTAATTTTACCAAAATACCCTTGTTATTAGTCGAATAATAAATGCATAAAAGTCCCATAAACATTATTCCAAAATACAAGGAAAAATCCATCTTAAAATAGTATTCAAACATAATCCTCATTAAGTCTCAAGTCCACCAACAATGCATAAACTTAAACAAGTTCCGCTGGAAGCTCTTCGGGCCACTAACCCTTGTGATGACATCTGGGGCAGCAGCTATGTTCCTGCGATTGATCTGGGTGCTCCTGGTTTCCTGCAGCTCCTGAGTGCGGGCGTTGGGGTCAGTCCTAATCCTAGTTTCGCTTTAATGTTGAAGACTCTTAATAGCAACACTGGAATAAATAAATATACTCATGCAATGCTTCATGCTTAAATTTAGTATTCTTATTACTTGTTGTGAAAGGGGGCCCCGAACTCTACTCAACTAGCACACTAACGGCCACCAAACGTAAACTTCCACCTGATGGGAAGATATAACATGGGTGTAACTTCCACCTGACGGGAAGTAACACAATTATAACATGAATGTTAACTTCCACCTGGCGGGAAGTAACATAATCCTGAACTTGACTTCCACCTGACGGGAAGTAGGGTAGCCGCGTGCACTAGTCAAGTGAGTAGTTAAAAACATGTTCTTACTTGATAACTTGGTAACATGGAACGTAAGTCCATAATCTTGCTCAAAACATAACTTCATGATGGAATGCAATGACATGCTTACTAACATAAATACACTTACCGTGGACATACATATAGAGCGTAACTTAATTAAATAACATAATTAGATAAATTAAAGCGAAATACTAACTAGCCCCTCAAACCACGCACCTTATTAATTCAAGAAGTTATAACGTGAAGGTTGGGGCCCTTGACTTAGTTGATTCCTCTTGACCCTATGGTGAAATTCAAAGTTAGATTGGTTGAGTTTTGGGTTCTTAGCGACGGCTTTCTCAACTTGGGAATACTTTGCAAGATGTGCAAAGTATGGTATACTAATGTACCAATTAATCTAACATATTAGAATCATTATTCTTTACATATAATAATTAAGGTCTTAATCAATCTTAATCATTGAAAACTAATTGTGCTACAGTAAACCTACGCAGGTTAACCTTAGATTATACTAATCAATTTATCAAACTAGATAACACATTATTTACCCATTAACTAATCCTATTAATTCATTCATCACGTGCTAGCAACATTACTCATATTATCATAACTCCCTTATACAATTCATTATCATCTTAAATCGTTCTAATTTAACTCGTCATAATATCTAACCTATCAAAGCTTATATTTTGCTAACTGATAACTTAAATCATCTTAACCTATTAATTTCCTAAGAGAATCATTTAACAACAACGTTAATCATATTATGGGATCAAACATATAATTAATCAAACTAACTCATTTTATTAGTTACTAAAATACTTTAACATCCTCATACGTCCATTAGTAAGATACCTAGTAAATCATTTACAATTAAATCCAATTGAATTAAAATGTAAATTACTCTACAGTTCATTTAGCTACCGCCGCCAAAACAGTCACTAAAAACTATGAATCTCGTCCCTAAAAGGGATGTCACTGACACTGGTTGGCCAGACTATAGCCACGGCGGCTGTTTTGTTGCTAAAAGCCTGTAATTCCGTCGCTAATTTCCCAGATTTCTACAAAGACGCATAACTCGCATAAATGGTGCCTTTAGCGAGAGGGATTGAGCTTCCTTACCTTCAATACGAGTCTAGGCCTAGGTAGGAAGCCTTAGGACCTCAGTTCCTTGTTTGGATCGTCGATTGATCACCCCGCTCTTTCGCCGCCGAAGCTACGCCGTAGAAGACCTTTTGTTTGTTAGTTATGTAGCCTTGAAACTTGAATGACGAGGGGATTCGTTTTGCTTACCTACTGGTCCAGAGAGAATGGAAGGTATCAAGTCAGTAGCTACGACTTGCTTCCTTTTCCTTCGGTGATGACGATTATGGCGATGATGAAAGGTGAATGGACCAAAGGAGGGAGTGAGTAGATGATGATGGGATGAACTTCTGGTCTTGAGAGTTAGCAGTACTGATGGGAGGTATTGAGATTGGGAGGAATGGCTTTGATGGTGCAATTTCCGGGCGATCGGGGGAAGAAGGATCGTTAATTTATTGAACTGAAGAGAAGGATTTGTGATAGGGAGGGTGCACCGACACCATTGCCAGCTCCTCATGTCCCTCCAATTTAATTTCCAACTCCCCATGTCAGAGGCATGAATGGGGTTATTACATTTCCTCCCCGTTATAAAAATTTCGTCCCCGAAATTGAGAAACTGGGTGCATAAGAAGTTCATGATTCTTCACTTTTATTACCGATCATATCTTATTACCGCCAACAAATCATAATCAAATTATACCGATTACAAAGGTATGTCAAGAAACAACTCAGGATAGTTCTTCCTCATGTCCTCCTCGATCTCCCAAGTGGCTGCTTCTGTGCCTTGGTTCCTCCACACCACCTTCACCATTGGAACCTTCTTCCTTCGTAGCTCCTTATCTTGGCGGTTGATGATCCCGACTGGTATCTCATTATAGGTCATGTCACTATCCAGTTGAATATCTTCTAACTCCACGATGTGGGTTGGGTCGGATCGGTACCCTTTGAGCATGTTGACATGGAATACATTGTGGATCTTGGATAGATTTGGAGGTAATGCGAGCCTATACGCCAGAGGGCCTACTCGCTCCAATACTTCATATGGTCCAATGTATCTTGGACTCAACTTGCCCTTCTTTCCAAATCTCATAACCCCTTTCCATGGAGAAACCTTCAAGAATACCTTATCTCCCACTTCATGAGTCCTCTCTTCTCCTGGCTTGTCTGCATAGCTCTTTTGACGATCCTGAGCAGCTTTAATGTTTTCTCGTATTTGCTTAATTTTGTCGACTGTGTCTTGTACTAGTTGTGGGCCCTCAATTTGCCTTAATCCTTCCTCATCCCAATATAGGGGAGATCTGCACTTTCTCCCATACAAGGCCTCATATGGTGCCGCCTTTAGGGAGCTGTGGTATTGATTATTATAAGCAAACTCCATCAAAGGGAGATACTTGTCCCCCGATCCCCTCATCTGCAATGTACAAGCTCTCAATAAATCCTCCAACGTTTGTATCGTTCTCTCTGTTTGTCCGTCAGTCTGAGGATGGTAGGCAGTTGAGAAATGGAGCTTGGTTCCCAAAGCCTTGTGAAGGCTCTTCCAGAATTGGCCAGTGAAACTAGGATCCCGATCTGATACAATAGTTAAAGGAACTCCATGTAGTCGTACCACCTCTTGTATATACAAGTCAGCCAATGCATCCACCCCTGGCTTGAACTTGATGGGGATGAAGTGTGCTGACTTAGTGAGACGATCTACAATCACCCAAACTCCATCGTTACCCCACTCCGTCCTCGGTAGTCCATAGACGAAATCCATGGTGATGTGTTCCCACTTCCACTCTGGTATCTCAAGTGGCTTTAGCTTCCCTGCTGGAGCTTGGTGCTCAGCTTTCACCATTTGACAGACTAAACACTTGTGCACAAACTCAGCTGCCTCCCTCTTCATATTGGGCCACCAGAAATGTTCTTGCAAAGTCCGGTACATCTTGGTCGATCCTGGGTGCATGGAATAAGGTGCACAATGAGCTTCATCCAGGATTTCTTGCCTTAAATTCTCCACGTTAGGTACACAAGCTCTGCCCTGGAAGAGTAACATCTCATTTGTTATTTCAAACTTAGTATCTTTCCCATCTTGTACCTCTTGAATAAACTTGACCAAAACTGGATCATCCTTTTGCTTCTCCTTAATTCGATCATGCAATAGTGGTCTAATCTTCAAATTAGCCATCATGCTAGTAGCGTCCTCCAGTTGTAGTTCCACATTCATAGCTCTGAGTGCCACTAGCTTCTGTATTGGGCCGTGCTCCTTCCTGCTCAGTGCATCTGCCACCACGTTGGCTTTACCAGGGTGGTACTCGATAGTACAATCGTAATCACCCAGCAATTCCACCCATCTTCTTTGTCTCATATTCAACTCCTTCTGATCCGTGAGATGTTTCAAACTCTTGTGATCTGTGAAGATCTTGAAAGTCTCACCATAAAGATAGTGCCTCCATAGTTTTAGAGCAAACACCACGGCAGCTAACTCTAGATCATGGGTTGGGTAGTTCACCTCGTGTGGTCGTAATTGCCTTGAGGCATAAGCAACCACCTTTTGATTCTGCATAAGAACACATCCCAACCCCTTGTATGATGCGTCACTATAAATGGCATACTCTCCGTCGTTTGATGGTAGTGTGAGTACTGGTGCAGTAGTGAGCTTCTTCTTAAGCTCCTCAAATGCTTCATGGCATTCTTCACTCCAGACATAAGTCACTCCCTTGCGCAATAGTTGGGTCAAAGGTCTTGCAATGCGAGAGAAACCCTCTACAAACCTTCTATAGTACCCAGCCATGCCAAGAAAACTTCTCAATTCTGGAACACTTTTCGGAGGTGCCCAATTGACCACTGCCTCAATTTTCTTTGGGTCTACTTCAACTCCTCTTCCAGAAACCACATGGCCCAAAAATAGCACTTCTTTTAGCCAAAATTCACATTTAGAGAACTTTGCATACAGTTTCTTTTCCCTCAGTATCTCCAATGTGATCCTCAAGTGTTCTTTGTGCTCCTCGTAGTTCTTCGAGTATATGAGAATGTCATCAATGAATACGATGACAAACTTATCCAAATACTCGTGGAATATGTTGTTCATTAGCGCCATAAATGCTGCTGGTGCATTGGTCAACCCAAAAGGCATTACCAAGAATTCATAGTGACCATATCGAGTACGAAAAGCGGTCTTTGGAATAGAGGATTCACCAACTCGCAACTGGTGATACCCAGACCTTAGATCAATCTTAGAGAACACAGAGGCACCCTGAAGTTGATCAAATAAGTCGTCTATCCTTGGTAGTGGATATCGGTTCTTCACCGTTGCCTTATTCAGCCTCCTATAATCAATACACATCCGCATACTTCCATCCTTCTTCTTCACGAATAATACTGGGGCTCCCCACGGAGAGATACTGGGTCGGATGAAACCTTTGTCTAGTAGCTCTTGCAATTGTTCCTTCAGTTCCTTGAGTTCCACTGGTGCCATCCGGTACGGTGGTATCGAAATTGGTGCAGTACCCGGAATAACTTCAATGTCAAACTCAATCTCTCTTCTTGGGGGTAACCCGGGGAGGTCTTCTGGAAACACGTCCGGGAATTCTTTCACGATGTCCACCTCTTCAAGATTCACTTCTGATGTCGTAGTAACATGGGCAAGATAAGCTTCACAACCATCTTGTATTAGTGCGAATGCTGTGGTTGCGGATATCAAACTCCCTGGAACGGCCCTGCGCATCCCCTTGAACACAGCCGTTCCTCTTCCTTCTATGTCAAACCGAACCTCCTTGTTGAAACAATCCACCAACGCCCTATGCTTGGATAGCCAATCCATTCCCAAGATGGCGTCAAATTCGTTGAAAGGAAGCAGCATAAGATTCCCCTCGAGTTCATACCCAGCGACCACTATTATGCACCCTCTGACTATCGAATTAACTATCAATGTATCACCTACAGGTGTACGCACCCCCAAATTCTGGCTGAGGTTCATAGGTGCCATGCCTAAGACTCTAGCAAAAGCAGTAGATATGAACGAATGCGTAGAACCAGGATCTATCAAAGCAAAGGCAGGACGATCATGTATATAAACCGTACCAGTCACCACCTCTGGGGCTGCATTGGCCTCTTCTCTCCTCATGGCAAAGATTCTGGGTTGACCGCCTGCCCTGGACATCTGACTCTCGTCACGACGGCTATTATAGTTGTTGTTGTTGTTGCTGAAATTGCTAGTCCTGCCACCGAGCCTCCCGCCTGAATGTGGCCTACCTCCAATGATCGAGGGCTCATAGTTCATCCTGGTCTGGCTCATGAGTTGTGGGCACTGTGGTTTAATGTGGCCCGGCTCTCCACAATGGAAGCATAGACCCAGAGGACGTCTACACTCGCCTAGATGGCGCTTTTCACACTTCTGACAAATTGGATATGTTTGATGTGTTGGTGCACTCCTGCTGGAGCCCGCTTGGCTCTGTGTCTGATGTTGAGTGATGGAACCAGAACCCCTCTTGAAATGGTTGGTAGAGTGGGTTTGGCCCCCCGTGTTAGTGGGCGCCTTCCTCTTCTTAGTCTCAAACCTGGCAGTCCTCTCCTGTTGGGCAATCTTCTCGTCCTTTTCTATACGGAGTGCAGCACGATACGCGGATGCTTTTGTTGCCCTCTCAGCTTCTCCCATGCTCCTCTTCAGATCTGCTCTCAACCCCATGACATATCGGTCACGTTGTCCCTCCGCCGTCTTGTATGCGGGATCAGCATATCTTAGCAGTTTCTTGAAGCACTCTGTATACTCCGCAACAGATTGTCCCCACTGCTGTCGTAGGGACATAAATTCTTCCATCTTCCCCTCTCGAACAGTGTCTGGAATGTACTCATCACGAAACACTTTCAAAAACTGGTCCCAGGTAATAGTTAGAGGCACCTCTTCACTTTCCGGTTGGGTGTGCCACCAGTCCCTTGCTGTACCCTGCAGTACGTGCACTGCCATGGCAATCCGATCCTCATGGTTATCGATACGCAGCTCATCAAGGGTGCGAGTGAGCTTCACCAGCCATGCGTCCACCACTTCAGGATTGGAGGATACTTCGAAGTCAACCACACTCATCTTCCTCAGTGCAGCATAATTAGGAATGGGACGTTGAGCAGGTGCCCTGGCTTGGGGGTTACCAACACTTTGGCTTCTGCAGTGAAATAAGACCTTGTATTAGAACTTCCGAAGCGTTCCAACTTATTAGTGGACGAGACTTAATGCTTTAAAGAAATCGATTTGATTTTCTTGAAAATCTTATTGCAAATTGTTAAAACCTTTAAAACTCGATTGAAAACATGCAGACCGACTTCCCAGTATCTCACTTAATAGTGAGACAGAGGGAAACCGGCTCTGATACCAAAATGTAACACCCTAGACCGGCCGGTGACTAATTTTACCAAAATACCCTTGTTATTAGTCGAATAATAAATGCATAAAAGTCCCATAAACATTATTCCAAAATACAAGGAAAAATCCATCTTAAAATAGTATTCAAACATAATCCTCATTAAGTCTCAAGTCCACCAACAATGCATAAACTTAAACAAGTTCCGCTGGAAGCTCTTCGGGCCACTAACCCTTGTGATGACATCTGGGGCAGCAGCTATGTTCCTGCGATTGATCTGGGTGCTCCTGGTTTCCTGCAGCTCCTGAGTGCGGGCGTTGGGGTCAGTCCTAATCCTAGTTTCGCTTTAATGTTGAAGACTCTTAATAGCAACACTGGAATAAATAAATATACTCATGCAATGCTTCATGCTTAAATTTAGTATTCTTATTACTTGTTGTGAAAGGGGGCCCCGAACTCTACTCAACTAGCACACTAACGGCCACCAAACGTAAACTTCCACCTGATGGGAAGATATAACATGGGTGTAACTTCCACCTGACGGGAAGTAACACAATTATAACATGAATGTTAACTTCCACCTGGCGGGAAGTAACATAATCCTGAACTTGACTTCCACCTGACGGGAAGTAGGGTAGCCGCGTGCACTAGTCAAGTGAGTAGTTAAAAACATGTTCTTACTTGATAACTTGGTAACATGGAACGTAAGTCCATAATCTTGCTCAAAACATAACTTCATGATGGAATGCAATGACATGCTTACTAACATAAATACACTTACCGTGGACATACATATAGAGCGTAACTTAATTAAATAACATAATTAGATAAATTAAAGCGAAATACTAACTAGCCCCTCAAACCACGCACCTTATTAATTCAAGAAGTTATAACGTGAAGGTTGGGGCCCTTGACTTAGTTGATTCCTCTTGACCCTATGGTGAAATTCAAAGTTAGATTGGTTGAGTTTTGGGTTCTTAGCGACGGCTTTCTCAACTTGGGAATACTTTGCAAGATGTGCAAAGTATGGTATACTAATGTACCAATTAATCTAACATATTAGAATCATTATTCTTTACATATAATAATTAAGGTCTTAATCAATCTTAATCATTGAAAACTAATTGTGCTACAGTAAACCTACGCAGGTTAACCTTAGATTATACTAATCAATTTATCAAACTAGATAACACATTATTTACCCATTAACTAATCCTATTAATTCATTCATCACGTGCTAGCAACATTACTCATATTATCATAACTCCCTTATACAATTCATTATCATCTTAAATCGTTCTAATTTAACTCGTCATAATATCTAACCTATCAAAGCTTATATTTTGCTAACTGATAACTTAAATCATCTTAACCTATTAATTTCCTAAGAGAATCATTTAACAACAACGTTAATCATATTATGGGATCAAACATATAATTAATCAAACTAACTCATTTTATTAGTTACTAAAATACTTTAACATCCTCATACGTCCATTAGTAAGATACCTAGTAAATCATTTACAATTAAATCCAATTGAATTAAAATGTAAATTACTCTACAGTTCATTTAGCTACCGCCGCCAAAACAGTCACTAAAAACTATGAATCTCGTCCCTAAAAGGGATGTCACTGACACTGGTTGGCCAGACTATAGCCACGGCGGCTGTTTTGTTGCTAAAAGCCTGTAATTCCGTCGCTAATTTCCCAGATTTCTACAAAGACGCATAACTCGCATAAATGGTGCCTTTAGCGAGAGGGATTGAGCTTCCTTACCTTCAATACGAGTCTAGGCCTAGGTAGGAAGCCTTAGGACCTCAGTTCCTTGTTTGGATCGTCGATTGATCACCCCGCTCTTTCGCCGCCGAAGCTACGCCGTAGAAGACCTTTTGTTTGTTAGTTATGTAGCCTTGAAACTTGAATGACGAGGGGATTCGTTTTGCTTACCTACTGGTCCAGAGAGAATGGAAGGTATCAAGTCAGTAGCTACGACTTGCTTCCTTTTCCTTCGGTGATGACGATTATGGCGATGATGAAAGGTGAATGGACCAAAGGAGGGAGTGAGTAGATGATGATGGGATGAACTTCTGGTCTTGAGAGTTAGCAGTACTGATGGGAGGTATTGAGATTGGGAGGAATGGCTTTGATGGTGCAATTTCCGGGCGATCGGGGGAAGAAGGATCGTTAATTTATTGAACTGAAGAGAAGGATTTGTGATAGGGAGGGTGCACCGACACCATTGCCAGCTCCTCATGTCCCTCCAATTTAATTTCCAACTCCCCATGTCAGAGGCATGAATGGGGTTATTACATTTCCTTCCCGTTATAAAAATTTCGTCCCCGAAATTGAGAAACTGGGTGCATAAGAAGTTCATGATTCTTCACTTTTATTACCGATCATATCTTATTACCGCCAACAAATCATAATCAAATTATACCGATTACAAAGGTATGTCAAGAAACAACTCAGGATAGTTCTTCCTCATGTCCTCCTCGATCTCCCAAGTGGCTGCTTCTGTGCCTTGGTTCCTCCACACCACCTTCACCATTGGAACCTTCTTCCTTCGTAGCTCCTTATCTTGGCGGTTGATGATCCCGACTGGTATCTCATTATAGGTCATGTCACTATCCAGTTGAATATCTTCTAACTCCACGATGTGGGTTGGGTCGGATCGGTACCCTTTGAGCATGTTGACATGGAATACATTGTGGATCTTGGATAGATTTGGAGGTAATGCGAGCCTATACGCCAGAGGGCCTACTCGCTCCAATACTTCATATGGTCCAATGTATCTTGGACTCAACTTGCCCTTCTTTCCAAATCTCATAACCCCTTTCCATGGAGAAACCTTCAAGAATACCTTATCTCCCACTTCATGAGTCCTCTCTTCTCCTGGCTTGTCTGCATAGCTCTTTTGACGATCCTGAGCAGCTTTAATGTTTTCTCGTATTTGCTTAATTTTGTCGACTGTGTCTTGTACTAGTTGTGGGCCCTCAATTTGCCTTAATCCTTCCTCATCCCAATATAGGGGAGATCTGCACTTTCTCCCATACAAGGCCTCATATGGTGCCGCCTTTAGGGAGCTGTGGTATTGATTATTATAAGCAAACTCCATCAAAGGGAGATACTTGTCCCCCGATCCCCTCATCTGCAATGTACAAGCTCTCAATAAATCCTCCAACGTTTGTATCGTTCTCTCTGTTTGTCCGTCAGTCTGAGGATGGTAGGCAGTTGAGAAATGGAGCTTGGTTCCCAAAGCCTTGTGAAGGCTCTTCCAGAATTGGCCAGTGAAACTAGGATCCCGATCTGATACAATAGTTAAAGGAACTCCATGTAGTCGTACCACCTCTTGTATATACAAGTCAGCCAATGCATCCACCCCTGGCTTGAACTTGATGGGGATGAAGTGTGCTGACTTAGTGAGACGATCTACAATCACCCAAACTCCATCGTTACCCCACTCCGTCCTCGGTAGTCCATAGACGAAATCCATGGTGATGTGTTCCCACTTCCACTCTGGTATCTCAAGTGGCTTTAGCTTCCCTGCTGGAGCTTGGTGCTCAGCTTTCACCATTTGACAGACTAAACACTTGTGCACAAACTCAGCTGCCTCCCTCTTCATATTGGGCCACCAGAAATGTTCTTGCAAAGTCCGGTACATCTTGGTCGATCCTGGGTGCATGGAATAAGGTGCACAATGAGCTTCATCCAGGATTTCTTGCCTTAAATTCTCCACGTTAGGTACACAAGCTCTGCCCTGGAAGAGTAACATCTCATTTGTTATTTCAAACTTAGTATCTTTCCCATCTTGTACCTCTTGAATAAACTTGACCAAAACTGGATCATCCTTTTGCTTCTCCTTAATTCGATCATGCAATAGTGGTCTAATCTTCAAATTAGCCATCATGCTAGTAGCGTCCTCCAGTTGTAGTTCCACATTCATAGCTCTGAGTGCCACTAGCTTCTGTATTGGGCCGTGCTCCTTCCTGCTCAGTGCATCTGCCACCACGTTGGCTTTACCAGGGTGGTACTCGATAGTACAATCGTAATCACCCAGCAATTCCACCCATCTTCTTTGTCTCATATTCAACTCCTTCTGATCCGTGAGATGTTTCAAACTCTTGTGATCTGTGAAGATCTTGAAAGTCTCACCATAAAGATAGTGCCTCCATAGTTTTAGAGCAAACACCACGGCAGCTAACTCTAGATCATGGGTTGGGTAGTTCACCTCGTGTGGTCGTAATTGCCTTGAGGCATAAGCAACCACCTTTTGATTCTGCATAAGAACACATCCCAACCCCTTGTATGATGCGTCACTATAAATGGCATACTCTCCGTCGTTTGATGGTAGTGTGAGTACTGGTGCAGTAGTGAGCTTCTTCTTAAGCTCCTCAAATGCTTCATGGCATTCTTCACTCCAGACATAAGTCACTCCCTTGCGCAATAGTTGGGTCAAAGGTCTTGCAATGCGAGAGAAACCCTCTACAAACCTTCTATAGTACCCAGCCATGCCAAGAAAACTTCTCAATTCTGGAACACTTTTCGGAGGTGCCCAATTGACCACTGCCTCAATTTTCTTTGGGTCTACTTCAACTCCTCTTCCAGAAACCACATGGCCCAAAAATAGCACTTCTTTTAGCCAAAATTCACATTTAGAGAACTTTGCATACAGTTTCTTTTCCCTCAGTATCTCCAATGTGATCCTCAAGTGTTCTTTGTGCTCCTCGTAGTTCTTCGAGTATATGAGAATGTCATCAATGAATACGATGACAAACTTATCCAAATACTCGTGGAATATGTTGTTCATTAGCGCCATAAATGCTGCTGGTGCATTGGTCAACCCAAAAGGCATTACCAAGAATTCATAGTGACCATATCGAGTACGAAAAGCGGTCTTTGGAATAGAGGATTCACCAACTCGCAACTGGTGATACCCAGACCTTAGATCAATCTTAGAGAACACAGAGGCACCCTGAAGTTGATCAAATAAGTCGTCTATCCTTGGTAGTGGATATCGGTTCTTCACCGTTGCCTTATTCAGCCTCCTATAATCAATACACATCCGCATACTTCCATCCTTCTTCTTCACGAATAATACTGGGGCTCCCCACGGAGAGATACTGGGTCGGATGAAACCTTTGTCTAGTAGCTCTTGCAATTGCTCCTTCAGTTCCTTGAGTTCCACTGGTGCCATCCGGTACGGTGGTATCGAAATTGGTGCAGTACCCGGAATAACTTCAATGTCAAACTCAATCTCTCTTCTTGGGGGTAACCCGGGGAGGTCTTCTGGAAACACGTCCGGGAATTCTTTCACGATGTCCACCTCTTCAAGATTCACTTCTGATGTCGTAGTAACATGGGCAAGATAAGCTTCACAACCATCTTGTATTAGTGCGAATGCTGTGGTTGCGGATATCAAACTCCCTGGAACGGCCCTGCGCATCCCCTTGAACACAGCCGTTCCTCTTCCTTCTATGTCAAACCGAACCTCCTTGTTGAAACAATCCACCAACGCCCTATGCTTGGATAGCCAATCCATTCCCAAGATGGCGTCAAATTCGTTGAAAGGAAGCAGCATAAGATTCCCCTCGAGTTCATACCCAGCGACCACTATTATGCACCCTCTGACTATCGAATTAACTATCAATGTATCACCTACAGGTGTACGCACCCCCAAATTCTGGCTGAGGTTCATAGGTGCCATGCCTAAGACTCTAGCAAAAGCAGTAGATATGAACGAATGCGTAGAACCAGGATCTATCAAAGCAAAGGCAGGACGATCATGTATATAAACCGTACCAGTCACCACCTCTGGGGCTGCATTGGCCTCTTCTCTCCTCATGGCAAAGATTCTGGGTTGACCGCCTGCCCTGGACATCTGACTCTCGTCACGACGGCTATTATAGTTGTTGTTGTTGTTGCTGAAATTGCTAGTCCTGCCACCGAGCCTCCCGCCTGAATGTGGCCTACCTCCAATGATCGAGGGCTCATAGTTCATCCTGGTCTGGCTCATGAGTTGTGGGCACTGTGGTTTAATGTGGCCCGGCTCTCCACAATGGAAGCATAGACCCAGAGGACGTCTACACTCGCCTAGATGGCGCTTTTCACACTTCTGACAAATTGGATATGTTTGATGTGTTGGTGCACTCCTGCTGGAGCCCGCTTGGCTCTGTGTCTGATGTTGAGTGATGGAACCAGAACCCCTCTTGAAATGGTTGGTAGAGTGGGTTTGGCCCCCCGTGTTAGTGGGCGCCTTCCTCTTCTTAGTCTCAAACCTGGCAGTCCTCTCCTGTTGGGCAATCTTCTCGTCCTTTTCTATACGGAGTGCAGCACGATACGCGGATGCTTTTGTTGCCCTCTCAGCTTCTCCCATGCTCCTCTTCAGATCTGCTCTCAACCCCATGACATATCGGTCACGTTGTCCCTCCGCCGTCCTGTATGCGGGATCAGCATATCTTAGCAGTTTCTTGAAGCACTCTGTATACTCCGCAACAGATTGTCCCCACTGCTGTCGTAGGGACATAAATTCTTCCATCTTCCCCTCTCGAACAGTGTCTGGAATGTACTCATCACGAAACACTTTCAAAAACTGGTCCCAGGTAATAGTTAGAGGCACCTCTTCACTTTCCGGTTGGGTGTGCCACCAGTCCCTTGCTGTACCCTGCAGTACGTGCACTGCCATGGCAATCCGATCCTCATGGTTATCGATACGCAGCTCATCAAGGGTGCGAGTGAGCTTCACCAGCCATGCGTCCACCACTTCAGGATTGGAGGATACTTCGAAGTCAACCACACTCATCTTCCTCAGTGCAGCATAATTAGGAATGGGACGTTGAGCAGGTGCCCTGGCTTGGGGGTTACCAACACTTTGGCTTCTGCAGTGAAATAAGACCTTGTATTAGAACTTCCGAAGCGTTCCAACTTATTAGTGGACGAGACTTAATGCTTTAAAGAAATCGATTTGATTTTTCTTGAAAATCTTATTGCAAATTGTTAAAACCTTTAAAACTCGATTGAAAACATGCAGACCGACTTCCCAGTATCTCACTTAATAGTGAGACAGAGGGAAACCGGCTCTGATACCAAAATGTAACACCCTAGACCGGCCGGTGACTAATTTTACCAAAATACCCTTGTTATTAGTCGAATAATAAATGCATAAAAGTCCCATAAACATTATTCCAAAATACAAGGAAAAATCCATCTTAAAATAGTATTCAAACATAATCCTCATTAAGTCTCAAGTCCACCAACAATGCATAAACTTAAACAAGTTCCGCTGGAAGCTCTTCGGGCCACTAACCCTTGTGATGACATCTGGGGCAGCAGCTATGTTCCTGCGATTGATCTGGGTGCTCCTGGTTTCCTGCAGCTCCTGAGTGCGGGCGTTGGGGTCAGTCCTAATCCTAGTTTCGCTTTAATGTTGAAGACTCTTAATAGCAACACTGGAATAAATAAATATACTCATGCAATGCTTCATGCTTAAATTTAGTATTCTTATTACTTGTTGTGAAAGGGGGCCCCGAACTCTACTCAACTAGCACACTAACGGCCACCAAACGTAAACTTCCACCTGATGGGAAGATATAACATGGGTGTAACTTCCACCTGACGGGAAGTAACACAATTATAACATGAATGTTAACTTCCACCTGGCGGGAAGTAACATAATCCTGAACTTGACTTCCACCTGACGGGAAGTAGGGTAGCCGCGTGCACTAGTCAAGTGAGTAGTTAAAAACATGTTCTTACTTGATAACTTGGTAACATGGAACGTAAGTCCATAATCTTGCTCAAAACATAACTTCATGATGGAATGCAATGACATGCTTACTAACATAAATACACTTACCGTGGACATACATATAGAGCGTAACTTAATTAAATAACATAATTAGATAAATTAAAGCGAAATACTAACTAGCCCCTCAAACCACGCACCTTATTAATTCAAGAAGTTATAACGTGAAGGTTGGGGCCCTTGACTTAGTTGATTCCTCTTGACCCTATGGTGAAATTCAAAGTTAGATTGGTTGAGTTTTGGGTTCTTAGCGACGGCTTTCTCAACTTGGGAATACTTTGCAAGATGTGCAAAGTATGGTATACTAATGTACCAATTAATCTAACATATTAGAATCATTATTCTTTACATATAATAATTAAGGTCTTAATCAATCTTAATCATTGAAAACTAATTGTGCTACAGTAAACCTACGCAGGTTAACCTTAGATTATACTAATCAATTTATCAAACTAGATAACACATTATTTACCCATTAACTAATCCTATTAATTCATTCATCACGTGCTAGCAACATTACTCATATTATCATAACTCCCTTATACAATTCATTATCATCTTAAATCGTTCTAATTTAACTCGTCATAATATCTAACCTATCAAAGCTTATATTTTGCTAACTGATAACTTAAATCATCTTAACCTATTAATTTCCTAAGAGAATCATTTAACAACAACGTTAATCATATTATGGGATCAAACATATAATTAATCAAACTAACTCATTTTATTAGTTACTAAAATACTTTAACATCCTCATACGTCCATTAGTAAGATACCTAGTAAATCATTTACAATTAAATCCAATTGAATTAAAATGTAAATTACTCTACAGCTCATTTAGCTACCGCCGCCAAAACAGTCACTAAAAACTATGAATCTCGTCCCTAAAAGGGATGTCACTGACACTGGTTGGCCAGACTATAGCCACGGCGGCTGGTTTGTTGCTAAAAGCCTGTAATTCCGTCGCTAATTTCCCAGATTTCTACAAAGACGCATAACTCGCATAAATGGTGCCTTTAGCGAGAGGGATTGAGCTTCCTTACCTTCAATACGAGTCTAGGCCTAGGTAGGAAGCCTTAGGACCTCAGTTCCTTGTTTGGATCGTCGATTGATCACCCCGCTCTTTCGCCGCCGAAGCTACGCCGTAGAAGACCTTTTGTTTGTTAGTTATGTAGCCTTGAAACTTGAATGACGAGGGGATTCGTTTTGCTTACCTACTGGTCCAGAGAGAATGGAAGGTATCAAGTCAGTAGCTACGACTTGCTTCCTTTTCCTTCGGTGATGACGATTATGGCGATGATGAAAGGTGAATGGACCAAAGGAGGGAGTGAGTAGATGATGATGGGATGAACTTCTGGTCTTGAGAGTTAGCAGTACTGATGGGAGGTATTGAGATTGGGAGGAATGGCTTTGATGGTGCAATTTCCGGGCGATCGGGGGAAGAAGGATCGTTAATTTATTGAACTGAAGAGAAGGATTTGTGATAGGGAGGGTGCACCGACACCATTGCCAGCTCCTCATGTCCCTCCAATTTAATTTCCAACTCCCCATGTCAGAGGCATGAATGGGGTTATTACATTTCCTCCCCGTTATAAAAATTTCGTCCCCGAAATTGAGAAACTGGGTGCATAAGAAGTTCATGATTCTTCACTTTTATTACCGATCATATCTTATTACCGCCAACAAATCATAATCAAATTATGATCCACATAGCAGCTCCAAGAAGCAGGTTTGATCATTTTCTTTCACCACTATAGAACTCTATGGCTTGTCTTACTAAGGTGGAAAATGGCGCAAGTTGTGCTTTCTTTTTGTGGTGATTTCGGAGGAAATGGAATTGCATAGTTGCCGAACCTACTTTCTCTGTGTTTTGGTATACATGACCGTTCTCTTTGATTGAGTTGATTTAAGCATATGTCAAAGATTTTGCAACCTCTGTGTAATTGGATGTCTTGTGTAGGCACTAGAAGTTATTCGCGAGCTTCAAAAGCAATTCCCCATCAAGAGAGCGCCAATGAGAATACGTCTGACTGTTCCTGAAAACACTTCTTCTTCACTTGTTGAAAAGCTGAATGCTTGGGAAGCTACCATAACTGCAAGGGATTCTTCTGGAAGTCAGCTGTCTTTTGTAAGTCTCTCCATATGGTGAACTGTTGATAATTCATACTCTTTTTGCACCTACTTTGAGCCTTCAGTTACTCACTGCCTCTTACTGGGAACAGTCGCAGTTTTATTTGATTGTTTGTCACTCATGTTCTATAGTCCACTGATTGAGACACAAGAATGAGCCCATTTATTTTATGTATGTGATTGTTTGTCACTCATGTTCTATAGTCCACTGATCTTTTATGAATGTGAAACAATTTCGGTGATGGACATTGCTTCAATGGCATTTTCTTTGAGATGGTTATGTGGTTTTCTCTCTTATCATCAAATATGGCCCAGGTTTGTGAAATCGAGCCAGGTTTCTTCCGAGACTGTGACATCTTGGTCAGGAATCTTCAAGGCCGAATGGAAATTCTAGCAGTGTCCGTTCATTTCGAGGGGGACACACATGTGGACGACATTGCCGATCATGTAGACCTGCAACCATCCCTCCCCACCAAGGGCTCCGCCGACCCCATTGCTCAACTCTCTGAAAAAATTCAGAAACAGACCATCTCCTCCGCAGCACCGAAGAAAGTCGAGGCAAAGCAGAATCAGTGCAGCACGTGCAGTGCAGTCGTGGGGGATGCTAAGGAGTACAGGGAACACTTCAAGAGCGACTGGCACAAACATAACTTGAAGCGGAAGACACGTAATCTGCCACCTCTCACAGCAGATGAGTGCTCTGCTGATGTGAACTTGGGTGACTCTAAATCTGATTTGAAAGATTACTCGTTTTGAGTTTGTAGTAGTTGGGAAATATTTGTTCTGTTTTTGTAACCCGAGAGGCTTCTTATATTGATAGGACTGAGCTGGGTACAGTCGCCTGTGTATTAGCCATTAGCTTATTACGTCTGTCCCGTGTCACTGCACAGAACAAGAAAGAACCTCAAAGTCGGCTATGAGTTTGCAGAACAACCCATGTTTGGTGGTTGACAAAACTCAAAAGCTATTGGAAGAATCAAGTTTGTAGGTGGAATCCTCATGGCCGGCAGGTGGGTCGGCAGGCCCTTCGGCACAGGGCCTCTATATCTTCATCGTGTATATTAGTATATGACTAATTATTATTACGGATTATTGGTTTCGATCATGAATGGAAATTTTATAAATTGAGTTTTGATTATGGGTCTAAAACGAAAATTAACTTTGAATGCTAAAAGAATGAACGGATCACGTGAGGGGAATATTTGTTTTCTTATTAGATTTTTTCAAACCATATAATATAACTCATTCTTTGTCGTGTGTTTCTAAAAATAGAATAATAAGGTAAGATTGTTGATGGCTCAATATTAGCATTATTAAATTTATTGCTTTAACTTTCTTTATTATCACCTTTCCAAGTGGGAAAATATTTCTATTTCTTCAATTAACCTGTTTGTACTAAGAAGGCACTAATGCTAAGTTAATTAAATAATTTGCTTTGATTTATTAATGTCGACCAGAATAATTAGATACAAGCCACCAATAGTAGAAAGGAAAAAATAAAATAAATCAATTATAAAGGTTTGTACCATACTTAACTTTAGACTAAAAAATTACCAGTTTCTCTTATTTAATTTAGTTTACTATTTGATTCTTCTCAAATTATTTTCATCTTCTACTCAATTAATTTCTCATTACCTATTCAGGTGAGTCTTGTTAATTGGTCGTGACAAAACTGCAAGTGCACAGTGTCGTACAAGTAATGAAGTGTAAGTAAAATTGTCGTTCTCTAGGGGATTGGTGAAATTCAATAATTAACAAATTTAGTTTAAGAAACTATAGGAATTTCAAATGTTGTAATCAAGTGATGAGTTGAAGAAATATTGAAATTAACAAACTCGGAAAATGAAATGTTTTGGAGAAATTAACTTTGAAGAGTTATGGGGAAAACATAAGATTTTACTATTTACCTCGATAAATTTAATTGCTCTTGTCAATCAATTTAATCCATATTTTTAAAGTCGGGATATCTCTAAATTGATAGCTATCTCTATCGAGAATTACCACGTACTAACTAATTAAGAAAATTTCTCCTCTCGTAAGACTGAATTAATTAATTAGTCTTAAGAACGATATCCCTAAAATGACTGCATAATATGTTTTTCGAAGCAAATTGTCAATCATTCAATTAGGCATTTAGTTAATAATATAACATGTTTTCAAATTTGACCAAGTTATTTATAAGTGAAGATTAGCTGATGAAGAAACATGTTTTTGTTTTATCAAAGCAACATGCTTTTAAGTTTGGCAACACCCATTGAAAGTTGTAATTATCAGAGTCAAGCTTTCTAGATGTTTTAACTTTCAAGTAACCAATTTATAAAACCTTCAAATGAAGAATATTCATACAAAATAGTCTCCCCGCCGCAAAGCGCGGACCAGCTAGTTAAGTTCTTAAATATGCAAACCAAGGGCTCGGATATAATTGATTGATTTTTTTTTCAAACACTATGAGCATTCATTTTTTGGGTATAAAAATATCAAAGATAATACTACGCATTAAAAATGCATGATTTATTATTAACTTTTTATACGTAGTCACACAATTTATGCTTGTCATTTTTGAACAAGGGCCATGCTAATTTTCTCCATACCATTCCAATTTTATCGGATGCCATGAAAGGACGTTATACGTAGTTACTCGTTGAACATAATATAGTAAGAACTTTAGTTTGGATTTTATTTTGAATGATTCTAATTATCTCAACTAACGTCACGTGCATTTACAAATAACAAATCTTAGCTCGGCCTCTGTAATAATACACTAAGAAAACTCCAACTCTCGATTTCCAAATCTTAGCTCCGCCTCTATATGACATTGCACAATCTGGCTAAGGTCTTACTTCCCCTTCATAGGAGTTCGGTTAGTCCCCACTCTAGGATTGCTTTGATTGCGGAATTTTTTTTTTTTTTTTTGGAATGTAAGAATGATGGCATGTAAACAGCTCATCATTTGCATTGTTATAGCTCGATCAAAATCGGTTCATCTCAAATTCATCATAATACTGTTCAGAACTACAGAACAGGCGCTCGCATCGTCTCCTACTGTGCTTCCGATTCTGAATGAAAGGGCGACGTAGCAGTTCAGCGGCTGTAGGCCTGGCAGATGGATTTCTCTGCAGGCAATGTCGCACGAAATGCTTCCAGTCTAGATATACTAGATAGCTTGGGATCTCAGGAGTCAGGATGCCTCTCCCTGCAGCAGAACAAGGAAGAAACACTTTTAGAAAAATCCATTGATAGAGTAATTAGTTTCCTATGGTGATACGTTTTTTGAATTGCAATTTGGAGAAACCTGTGAACTTGATTTTCTTCGGCGCAGGTAAGCCAACCCTTGTAGAATCTGCTCAGCGTAGGTGCGGATTACAGGTTGTGCAAACGGGAGATATTCATCTAGCAGTTTGGTAATCGAAGAACCGCCTGAGACATACTCCAAGTGCACTGTGAGTCTATCTCCTTCCTGAACAATAATTGGGTTATTTATGGGTTAGAACTTGGAAATTGGGATGCATTGCATCAGCGTAACAAGCGAAAAGCCGAAAAAAATATACCAGGTTGCTTCGTAGTATTGAACTGTTTTGGGATGCCACATCGACTAAGCAATGATACTCCTGTACCATCAAACAAGAACAACTAACCAGCCGTTAGAAGTCGAAACCATACATAGTGTCTAAATAGGCTGACTGCGAGAGGCAGACAGACATACTAACAATTTGTATGGTGGAGTTGGATAAGGTGGAGATCGAAGGTCAGAGCATTTGAAACACATGTGGTCCGTCAGTCTAGTGGAAAATGATTCGATCATCCAGTTACAAAGAACTTGAGGGTGATGCTATTCATAGTCCTAGCAAGGATCAGTAACACCATAGAACATATATTTGCATTCCCAGAATTCATAGTCAAGCAAACTTATCACTCTTTGAATGTATTACTATGATAAAAGAGAGACAGTCCATCATTGTTGTCTCGTCATCATCTGGTGCATCATTACATAATTCTTTTAATTCAGTGAAGGAAGACATAATGGTGCAGGGGACGATGAGATGAACAGAGGACATGGATCACTGACATAGGCATTTGACGGCAGAGCTGGGCTCTAGATACTGCTGAAAAATACTTTTGCAGAAGCCATATAGGATACTTCGTCACCATTAATATTTTTAGAAAGCAGCTGACAGGATCCTTGGCAGTTTCTGTGAACTATTTAAAGTATACGAGAGATGATGAATGAACCCATCAAGCATTACCTGGATAAGCGTTTTGGTTTCTGTATTGACGAGGGAGATCCAACATTCAAGCTTTCATGGCGGTAATAAGTCATCATACCGCTGAAATCAGATGGAATCCTCTTTGCAGTCGGAGGTTCTGTGAGAGCTCACACGAAAGCTCATTTCTTCACCGAATCCATTCCCTGGATACTGCATCTGCAAAAACAAAGAAAAAAAGGAAGAGATGGTGTCTCTCAACAAATAGTTGGGGTGCTTTGATGAGTTCAAGTGTATAATATGCTTAACTTCATCTCAAACATGAGCCCACATAAGTAAACTCAGTCAAGCATAGACAGATAAAAACAATAAAAGAAACGGAAAAAATGGCATCTCTGTTAGAAACATAATTTTCGTGTTCTAGCATATTTATTATTATCGTTATTATTAGATTAATTCTTATTATAGTTAGTAGTCTTTTAGTCGTATTAGGTTTATTATTAGGGTTTTCTCATATTCCCTATAAATATGTACTGTGAGTTTGTGTTACAATTAATCAAGAAAGATCTATCAAATAATCTCCTAAAACCTAATCTCTCCCTATCCTCTCAATTCTCGATCCCTATCTCTCCAAAGCCTCGGCCGATTCTCTATCCTATTCTTCTTCTTCCCCAAATTCCCAATCTCAATCCCAAATTCTATTCGTATAAACCCTAATCCCCAATTATCAAACCCGTTAGAAACTCTGTTTCTAACATCTGGTATCAGAGCCTGGTTCCGACCGGCGAGTTTTTTCTCAACTCCCTCAGGGACAGCTTCCGGCCAGGAGAGTTACCAAGGACAACAATGGAAAAATCGGAGCAGACATGGGCTCAAAAGCAAGAAAGAATGTGGCGGATCGTGGAGTATTGGAAGGAGCACGGGCTGCGTACTGCCGCGAAGGATGGTGAGGACAACGCGGCGGGTGGGCTGCCGCTATTCGCCGCTGCTGGCGGGGACGAGGTGAACGTCGCGCAGCCAGATGAAATCCTAATGAGTGCGACAAACATCTCGGAGCCGACGTGGGCTCAACGACGGGAGCAGCTGCGCCAAATCGTCGACTTTTGTAAAATGAACGAGTTGCGACGTGAGAAGGCAGGAGGTAAGAACACAGGCGATGCCGCGAAGGAGCCGTCGTCAACAGGAGCTGACGAGGCCGACGTGACCAGTGGGCAGCCGTTTGCTACAAGCGCCGAGGCCGACAAAGCGGCGGAAGTCACCATCGGATGGAGCAACCAGGAACCGGTGTTGGAGGCTGTGGTCGGAGACGCGATAGAGGAGCAGCAGCCGCTGGACCGACCCGTGATGGTGGACGAAGGCGGGACACCATACGCGCGCTGCGAGGACCCTGGACTGCCGTCGCCGAACTCCTCGCACCCGATGGCTGGTCTTTCTCCTCCAGCCACTCTGAGGTTCCGTGCGCAGGTGGGAGAGCGACAAGCATTGACCGAGGAACAGTCATCCCCCGCAACAAGCCTATTGGTTGTTGTTTCGCATGACACCACAGTTGTTCCTACCAAACTAAGCCGACCAACCATAGAGTCGCCCACAAGAGAGAATGATTATGGAGTTTGGACTACCCATGTTGATCGAGTTAGGCTGCATCAAGGAGGTGAGTTCGGTGGAATTACTCGTGAAGTAATTATAATGAATAGGGTCACGGTATGCCAAGGGAAGGAAACGCAGTCACTAGTATTTGCTGGGTTTAGTAGGAGAATAATATTGGCCACTATCGTAACGTTTATGGTTGTGAGTGGTGGAAGGGTCCTTCTCCAATTGTTTTTATGGAAGTTTCGGAAGAAAGAACGAGGGCCGCCAGGTGTTTTGAGGGAAGCAATTAATGGCGGCAATGGAATTGAGAGACTGAAAGTTCAGTCGAACTTTAGATGGTGGGAGAGGTATATGGGAATAGAAGAAGCAAGGAAGCAGTTGGAAGTGAGCAGGTTGTGTTGGGAGGAAGTTACTGGCAAATGGGAGAGACTGGAGCTGCAGCAGGCGGTTGAAATCACTACCGAGGCACTGGCTTTGGCAACCCCTACCCTGCTGACCACCGTCTTTGCCACTGAGACTATCGTTGTCGCCTCAAACACCAAGTTTTATGGAATGCAAGCAGGGTGTGAACGTGAATGTGATGAGGCCGATTGTGCTAATACAGGTAGGCTCACGCGGAGTATTTTGGGGCTGCAGAACTCCGGAAAGCCGCCATCGGATGAGGCGGCAGCCGACGAGGATATGCGAGCTGTCGCCAAGTGGGTTTCTTCTAAAGAGGAGTCAATACGTGGCAGGATTCCCCCGCGTTTGAAGGAGAACTATCCGCAAGCATCCAAGAATGTAAACACCGGGTTCAACTTGGATTTATGTATTGAGGAAGCTTGGGGTGGGCAGGAATGGAACATTGAAGAGAAGGAGATGAAGGGTAGTGGTGAGAATGAACTACAGGAAGGTAAGGTCTTATTGCTTCTCAACTCCTTACTTTCATTAGTGCGCTCACGATCTGGGAAGGATCAGGAGGAATGGAAGCCACCTAACGGGGGTTATAGGCTCAAGGATCTTGCTAATCAAGCATTCCTAAGCTCTGAACAGGAGAGGCTACTGCAAGTATTAGTTAGAAGAGGGAGCATGACTATGAAAAGGGGCTTGGAAGGTGATTATCATACCATGCAGAGGGCACGCATGAATGAAGGGTGGCTGCATTTGGAGGAGGTTGGCGATGAAGATCACAAGAAATGGGAGATCGTGGGTTCTTTTTTGGTGGAGTTTGTAGAGAAGAATATGGACTCGTGGGGTCTTGGTCCTAATGATGATATGGGACACTTCGTGAGAAGAGGATCGATGAAAGTTGAAGACACTAAGGTTGGATTAGTTCGTGAGTTTGAACGTGACTGGAGGAAAAGAAAGCGTAAGAAATAGAGGAACCAATGTGCGAAATGCGTGATGAAAGTGGAGAAGTAGGTTCAGTTGATCAACCTTGAGGGCAAGGTTGGTTTCAAGGGGGAGGAGATGTTAGAAACATAATTATCGTGTTCTAGCATATTTATTATTATCGTTGTTATTAGATTAATTCTTATTATAGTTAGTAGTCTTTTAGTCGTATTAGGTTTATTATTAGGGTTTTCTCATATTCCCTATAAATATGTACTGTGAGTTTGTGTTACAATTAATCAAGAAAGATCTATCAAATAATCTCCTAAAACCTAATCTCTCCCTATCCCCTCAATTCTCGATCCCTATCTCTCCAAAGCCTCGGCCGATTCTCTATCCTATTCTTCTTCTTCCCCAAATTCCCAATCTCAATCCCAAATTCTATTCGTATAAACCCTAATCCCCAATTATCAAACCCGTTAGAAACTCTGTTTCTAACAATCTCACAACAAATAGTTAGGTGCTTTGATGAGTTGATGCGCACAATATGTTCAACTTGATCTCAAACGTGAGCATGCATAAGTAAACTCAGTCAGGCAGAGAAGATAATCACACACAAAAAAAAAAAAAAAAAAAAAAACTGACAAAAACTAATCACAATGAACCTTGGAAACTGCCTGGCGTTCCCTTTTGCCACTGCCTTAGAGATTGCCTGAATGAAGAAATATGAATTTTTAGTGTCATTCATAAAATACTTGTAAAAAAATTTACACATACGAGGCAAAAAGGAACTTTGTTTCTGACCTTTATTCTTCGGGAGAAGCTGGTATCTAATACAAACTCGCCATCTCGTTTAATGTAGCATTCATCAATTTTGATACTGGAAACGTGGCTGATGTTGTGCCAATCCAAAGTTGCCTTCAGCCCTGAAACGTTATTGATCACAATCTCTTGCAAAAAAGAGAGGTGTTGCATACCCTGCAGCCACTCTGTCGGAGGATGATGAATGTTAAAGATATGCAATTTCTTCAGTCTGGACAGAGGATGTGGTGCTGATGATGAACTCGATGGTGCAGTATGTCCTGATGACGACACAGAGTTGTTCATTGTGCATAGAAAGGGTAATAGGCTAGTGGCCTCCAATTTTAGCTCCTTGTCAAGTGTTGGGAATAATGGCATCGATGTCAGGAGAGGGCAACACTGTACCAGCAGTGTAGAAAGTTTAGGGAATTGGGATGACTTCCTTCGCCACCCTTTTAGCTTGTGACAACAAATCAACTGTAGTTCCTCTAGTGAAGGGAAGAATGGTTTGAGTAAGCTTCTGCCGTCTTCTGGTTCTTCTTCATCTTCATCCATGTAGTCTAACTCAATCAATCTAGCCAAGCAAAGCTTTTGAAGGTTTGGTAATCCTTGCAAATGGTGCAAACCATGATGCAATTTAGAATTTCCTAAAGTGAAGGTGACTAGGTTAGTGAGAGTAGAGATCCAACTAGGAGATCTCCCTCCTCTGTATCCAGACATCATGAAAGTTCGTAGGTTCGAGTGGGGCTGTAGGCTTTCCAGTAAGCTTTCATCCCATTCAACATCTTCCTTTGATCCCTTCAAGCATTCTTCTCCTCTGCTGTCTTCTTTTTCCTCATAAGGTAGTAACAACGAATCAAGGTGGGGCATCCCCTTCAAATTTGCGGTGGCTCCAATCTTAGATGCCAGTGACGGTGGTGATGACGATATTGTTCTTCCCCGAAGTCGTCCCAGATTCACTATCTCGAGTGCTCCTCTCAAGTTGTGAAGCCTACTCAGTTCATTCAACCCACCTACATGCTTAGAAGAGGAACTATCCTTCCCCAACACAAACCATGGCAATGTTTGAAGACGAGTCAGTTCACCTAGCCCAGCTGGCATATGGGTTAAGGACCAACAGTTGTTGCAATCAAGGACCCATAGGTTTACGAGTTTGCTAATATCTTTTGGCAACTCTTGGAGGCTTTTGCAGTGAGAAAGTATAAGCACTTGTAAGTTTACAAGCGTGGTGATGGAATTTGGTAGCTTGGTCATCTGCTCGTTGTGTGCAAGACACAAATATCTGAGATGTTTTAATACTTGGATGTGATGGGGCACCATTTCCATCCCGCAGTTCATAAAATCAAGTACCCGTAAACTCCCAAAATTTGAAACAAATGCTTTGAAAGTGGAGTCATCCCAACTCGTGCCCAAATGGTACCAATTCAAATACTGGGAACAAAACGTTCTCAGCCGTTTGGCTCTACTCAGGTGGGCTACTAGTTTTGAAGGGTACCACAGACCGTGGTTCAACGAGATATGATAAGTATTTTCACTGACTTCATCCTTTGGATCATCTATTTGCTTAAAACTAGACCCAACTACTGAGGCTGCAAGGTCATGTATCAAATCATGCATTTTACAAGAGCTTAAGTTCTTAGAAAAGTCTCCTTTTATATCTTGAAAAAATGACCTCCATGCCAAATCCATGAAACATTGGAGACCCAAATCAACTAAACTTTGTTGAGAATCATTAGGTGTTGATGAATTAATAATCCCTAGTACGACCCAAATACTGATGAGGTGTTCAACAGGAATCTCGTAATCTTTGGGAAACAGACTACAAACTGCAAAGCAATGTTTCAAATGGGAGGGAAGATAGTCATAGCTCAGCTTTAAGTTATTGAGTATGCCATCCTCGTGTTCAGCAACTAAAAGTTTATCAGATCTAAGGATGGGCAACCACTCAGTTTGAGGATCTTTAAAAGACAACACGTTTGCTATCGTTTTCACAGCTAACGGTACCCCCATAGACTTCTTAAAGATCTCAACTTGAATCTCTTCCACACTAGCTATGTTAAGTGGTTCCTCCTTATAAGCTAATTGGTGTTCACTGACGCATACAACTTGCCAAAACAATGACCATGACTGTGGGGAAGATAGACCTCTCAAGACATACGGTGGCTGAGAAGAACCACGGCTCATCATCCTTGCAAACTTTTCAAACCGAGTGGTGACCAAGATCTTGCTTCCAACAGCACCACCCTTGAGCACAGATCTCAACTTATCCCACTCCTCTAAACTAAAGTTCCATATATCATCAAGCACAAGGAAGTACCTTTTCTCACTGATGTGTCCCAAAAGGAGATTTATCAGTGTCTCAAGCAGAAGACCCTGTCTCTTCTCTCCAGTGGCTAACTCTAGAATCTTTTGGAGGATCACTTCGACCTCGAAGGAGCCCGACGCACATGCCCACAATCTCAACTTAAAATGCTCCTTGACTTGCCTATCGTTGTAGATGAGCTGAGCAAGTGCGGTTTTACCCATCCCTCCCATCCCAACTACGGAAACCACAGAGACATTACGACTACTAATAGTATAATTATCAGGCAGCAGAAGAAGTTCCTTCATCTGCTCTAAGTCATCATCTCTACCGACGAATATGTCGGGGATGGAAGAAATGGAATGGGAATGCTTCTTCATTTTACCTTTCTCTTCAAAACGAGGATTCAGGTGCAATGTGGTGTTATCAGCATGTATGGCATCCAACTGCTCCCTAAGACTCTTGATTCTGTGAGCCATTTTTAGACCATAAAGCAAGCTGTTCGGAAGGGTGATGAAAAGAAAGCATACCGCACTCCAGCATTGGATCCTGCTGCTGCAGTGATCATGATCATCACCACCACGCACTTCCTTTCTGAGAGCTTCAGTAGCTACATCATCAAGTAGATCCTCTGCATCGTATAATAAGACCGAAAGCTTCTCGAGCCAATCTTTGACCTGGTGACGGTGTGCCTGCTGCTCCTCTGCATCAAGCAGAAGCGCTTGAATGGCTGTCACTGTGGCTTCCAGCTTCTTGAGTTCGGTTCGAAGGTTCCACAGCAGTGCAGCCTCCTGTTGAACAAGAGGACCCAGCTTCTCAAGAACAGTTTTGCCGACGCTGAACAAAGATTCAGAAGCCATTTCCTTTCCTTCTTGGGGAGCCAAGTTGGTTTATTTAGGAAGGTGAGATTAGGGTTAATCTGCGAAGAAAAATGCAATTAGATGCCACTGCGGTGGCCAGTGCGGCAGTGCTCATCACGGAGACCAATGTTATTGGTCTTAATGACAGTTTTTCAACCCTCCTATTAATCATAATTAATTAATGATAGAGCTCCTAAAATACCCAAAATATCCCCTTCCTTCCCACAAAACCTTCTCGCCGGCAAAAGACCAAACCAACGATATTACTCATAGGCTCATAGCTCTTTGGTTCGTCCCCAATAAGCAAAAAGAAGAAGTCAGTGTTACTAATTGTTACTAGCTAGCCAGAATGTGAAATCGGAATTCACTGGCAAGAACTTCAATAACGGATCCAAGCTAGGGATTGAAGTAGAGAATGAAGAGTGGCGACTGAGAAAACTCAGATCAGATTTACCTGAAACGACATCCCGATTGAAAATCAACGGAGCTGTTCCAAATTTCCCGCCGTCTTTCCTCTCCACCTATCAACAACCGCCGCAAACTCCACGAAAATCGCGTTCCGTCTCCAGTCCTCTCATTGATCTTCTCTGAGTGGCTTCCGATGGCGGCTGGTGATGCATATTGAGAGTGACATAATGTAAAGGAAGGAGGTCTCGGCGCCGGCTCCGACGACGTAGAGGCGAAAGTTCGGGAGATGGTGGGCGCTTTACAGGAGAAGTTCTATTGGATGGGCGGGAAGGAGTTTGGGGGTATTATCGGTTTTGTGCCTTAACCAGTGGGGTTAGGTTAGTAGGGGACTTGAATGTGATTAGTGAAACCATCTGATGACTTATTTGTTAATTATGCATAGAACAAGTGCTGAAAAAAAGAATTTTTGAAAGGGGAAAAATATTGTAATTAGTAATTACCATTTTTTTAAGAACACAACCAGATCAACAGATGCATGTAAAACCACTAAATTAATTATAATAACGGTTCGGTTCATTTGATTGAACGGCTAACGATGGGACGGACAATTTTTTAGAGTTTGATATGAAACCAGTTGAACCACTTCGCTTTGACTAGTCCATTGGTTGACAATTTTAATCATAAAAAAACTTTAACATAAACTAAAATCATTCTACCTTGATAACTTATTTTATTTATGCTTTATTTTCTTCATTTTCCAGCCTCTTTATCAATTATATGTTGTCCAACGAATTATCAACCTTATTACTGACTTGAATTTAATAAGAAAGAGTTTTGATTTATTTTGTGAGATAGTTTGAATACTTTGTTAGAACTTTTTGGTGATAGATGATATGAATTTGAATTTTTTTTTATGATTTATGATAATTTCACTTCTAAATTAGTGTGCTATATATAGCGCATGAATGATTACGTCAATATGTAATCAACAATTGCATAATGATCGATCGTTAAACCATCAACAACTATCTTTTCAAGTTCAACATTCGGTCCGGTTGAGGAAAATTTCGTAATTACTAATTAGCTCTAGGGATGACAATGAGGTGGGTTTGCCTAAACCAACCTCATCCCCATTTCCAAATACCCAAACTCATACCCGCTACATACCCATGCAGTGGAAGGTCTTACAAACCCATCCCCATACCCGTGGTTTTCGGATACCTTTGGGTAATACCCGCCCATCAACTACTCACTATTAAATTAATAAAAGAATGTGATGACAAATAGGATACCACCCGCCCAAAATTATGGATCTAATACACAAGATGATGAAATTACGGTTTGGTTTCAATCAATTACATTTTAACTTTGGTTTTTCTTTCAATTACCCTTCGTTTCATTGACAAGTTACAATAGACTCCTTATATGTTATGCATATAATATAATATCCTTGGTGGGGCGGATTTGGGTATGAGTATGAGGCGGGTGAGTCCAAATCATACTCATCACATACCCATCAACTTTTTTTGCGGTTTTACCCATGCTCGCATCTGACCCAGTCAATGCGAGAAATTATTCGCCCCATACCCAGTCAAAGCGGGGAATTCTCCACGTTAACTGTATTAACTGTATTTAAGGTGGTTAGATACATGCAACCATGGATTTGGTTGCCAATCCCTAATTAGCTCTTCATTGCTTTTGTAGTTTTCGGAAAAAAATGGAAAAAGAAGAAAAAACGGCGTTTGGGCCGTTAAGGGACCAGGTGGCAAGGGAGAACCGAGAGGCGAGAACGTTTAGTTAAGGAGAAGGTGGAACATTCACACCGCCTCTCCAGGTCTCCCTTCTCTCATATCGCCACCGGAGAAACTGAGCTCTTCCTTACTGCGTCTCTGTCCAGCTCGATCCTTCTTCAGCTGAAGGTTTCGTCTACGCCATAGCTCTTCTCCTTCTTCCTATTCCTGCCGACGGTAAGACATTCATAACCTCGGGAAATCATGATCTCAATCACCTCTAATTTCTTCCAATTCAGTTCTCGCTCTCGCTGTGGTTGTGAATTCGTAGCGTGCTCTCCTTTTCCAGCAAGGTTTTCCAATCAGACCTGAATTGCTTGCATTGAATTGCTCATGGAAGTGGTTAGGTATAGACTATAGACTGAGAGCGGTTCTGTTGGATCTCCATAACGTGAATACATGCTTGTTATTTGGGCTGGAGTGAGTGGATTGGTATGATCCCCCAATAGAAGATTTGTTAGGAGGCACTACCAACCCTGCTATGGAAAGCAACATAAAAAGGTTCAATTAGCCCGAAGAAAACAAACTGTTGTTTAAAGTTTGGCTTAGTTCTTTCCGAGACATGATTCACTTTTCCAGTAGGTCAACACTTGGCCAGGTGTACTGACTAGGGTAAAGCTGCTGCCTGCTATAATTTCTATCAGGCTGGTTCCCCCCGGTCATTCATTTGATTGAACATTCCATGTTTTTATATACTGCAGATCATCTCTGTGTAGACTGCAGACTGTAGACTACTGAAAGTTGACTGAATTAGCTTAAGGTAGTCGTCTACTTGTCTGTTTTTTTATAATATCTCTCTTAACTTTATCAATGGGGTTTGATTATATGATTATGGATGTAGTGTCTATTAAAGAAGGTATCTCTTCTTTGATTCTCTTCATTTTGCAGTTGAAGAAAGTGTACTTTGTTAACAGAGATAATGGCTCTCCTGTTGCAGGTGAAAATGGCAGGGTTCAGCTTTCAACTGGCTTATACTATTACCTTTGATCACCCTTGTTTTCTTCAAAAACTTTGAAATCTGTGTCTGAGGGTTAAGGGAAGAAAAACCAGATTAAGAACTAGAGAGATTCATAAGAGGAAGAAGGGTAAAAAAATGGCAATGCAGTGGAGTTCGACTCTGTTTGTGCTCCAGATGGTTTGGTTGGCGCTTGTTGGATGGGTCTCATCTTGCTTAAATGTTGCCGACGAGGTTGCCCACTCCCTCAGAACTGGAGATATTGGCCCATTCATTATTGGTTGATGGAAGCTGGTTTAGTTCACATGTCTCCAGACCCTGGTGATTCTTTCAGACCACCACATCAATTCGTTATTTAAGTCGAGTAGCTGCTTGCTCCTGATTGTCGTTAGTGTAACGTTTTGGGCAAAGTATTGCTGGTTTTTAAAATCTTTATGTTCTCAATATTCACAATAACGAAAAGGAGGAAGATGGTGTGTATTGAATTGATTGCCCCATAGACCTATGTGTTACTATCATCCCCAATTATTTCTATAATGGTCTTCAGGTTTTGCTGCTCTCCATTGTCAAGACCAATATTCTGAATGCGCCCAACAATTATTGCTTCCTTATTCTGACTGAAAAACTTATGCATTTTCTTGTATGGTATCTCTCTCTTCTTTTGAAATAATGTGCCGAATCTTCCGTTCTTCTGTAGCCAAGCTGTCGTAATCATAAATAGTAGTGCTAACTGTTAATTACTCTCGATTGAATCTTTGTTGTTTATTATGAGGAGATACAAAAGCTTTGTTGGGTGCGGTGACTTGTGCAGTAGGGCTTATGTTCTCATGCTCCCAGCTTCCTGGTGACGTAAGTTTTTGTAATAGTGGATTCATAATCTTTTTGCGTACTGGAAACGAAGGTGTCATTCTGCACCGCAGAAGTTATTTCTTATTTGGCTCTTGTTTAACTTTCTGATTGCAGGTGGTTTTGATTACTGGTTTCTGATAGGAAAGCTTAATATGTGCAGGTTTTGTATTTCCTCGAGTAAGCCAATGTTATGTCAGAGTTCTGGCTCAGAGTTGTGGGAAGATATGCAAGGCTGACTTGGAAAATCAGGAACGGCCATTTTGAAACTAACTTAAGGTTTAACGATGAAGTTCCAGCTCAACAGTTGACTTCTTTTATGTAGCAGCACTCTATGGGGCTCTGTGGCTTTATACTTTTTCATGATACGTACACTGAAGTGCAGTCTTCTTGTTCCTGATTGGTGATGATAGAGAATGCCTTGTTTTCTGTACAGATTGCTGAAATGGGTAGAAAGAACTTATATGGTACTTGTTCCAGCTTGATGTTTGACAAATGCTTGCCGTCTCCATAGACAAATTCACTGTGCTTGTATCCATGGTTGGAAAGGTTGAGTTGGTGGATTGCTCTTAGGCAAATCAATAGTTACCCCTTATCTGAACTTTATGAATGATATTTTAGGAGTTAATTGCAAGGTTGGTCATTGGAAGTGCTAAAATATTCACATTTGATCACAAGAATTTTATTCCATTCATGGTCACTGGAAGTGCTTAACGTTTCACGATTGGTTACTCTCCGTTAGTCTCCACTAACTGAGTCTGTTATCTGCTGACGTGACTAACACAATTGCCAAGTTAGCCTGATTTAACCCGGAAAAAAAGGAGACCCGACTCGTGAACCCATGATACGAGTTGACCTAAGAACAAGCCAATAAAATTAAAAAATGAAGAAACATGGGGCTGCTTTTCTCGATCCATCTCCTTCTTCCCTAGACTCTTCCTCCACCCTTTTCTGCAAAATTAGTCCATGACCAGCCTTGTTCTTCTTCATCGTGCCCCTTCTTCTTCCTCTATTCCACTCCACTTGAAACCCTAAATCCACTTGCAGCTCTCGTTTCTCCCATTCTCAGCTTACCGATTCATTAATCATCACCAAGCACTTCTTGAATCTGTACTAGAGTCATCGAATCACAACACCAACCAATTTTGTGAACCCACCGTCTTTCCACCTCTGCATCTCGTCCGCAGACATCGTCGACGGATCTAGATTCTACGGGGTGAACATGAGTGCAGGGAGCTGCTATGCCATCTCGATGAGAGCCGCGAATCACCACAACACACAGATCAAACGTTTCAGTATCGAGGTTTCACAGAAGCTTTAAAAGAGGCAAAGACGAGAAGAAAGCAGTGACAACTGGCCAAGAAGAAGATCTACCAGAAAATCCTCCACCGCCGTTGGTAAATCGTTAGAAGATCGCCTCTCTAGATCCTTAATCGCATACCAGATCTCCAATCATGGTATGCTATGCTCCTGATTCTTTTTTCCTCCCGCGTCAGCAAAACCTCAAGAGCTCCCAATCGTGGTATGCTCTGGGGTTTGGCCAAAAGGGAAAAAAAATTGTCTTCTCCGCTCAATTCAAGATGGGTTTGGTTGTTCATATTGTGGTTGAGAGAGATTTCTTGAATCTATCTAAGACCAAGTCTGATTCCTCATCCAATAGAAACTCCCACGATGATGATTGATGAGACGGCAACATAAGGAGAATATGAAACCGAGTGGAGATTTCAATTGGAAGAAAAATAAGAGGAGAGGCAGGGTCGGGTTATGTGGTTTGGTTGGATTGTGTGGGGATTTTCTTATTTGGCGGGTCGAATTATATGACATGGCAGGTTAAAATTGGGTGAATCAGCATTGGTGTTAGCCACGTCAGCAAAATATTAACGGTGTTAACGGAGATGGACGGAAACTAACGGAGAGTGACCAATTGTGAAATGTTAAGCACTTCCAGTGACTAAGAATGGAATCAAATTCTTTTAGTGACCAAACATGAATATTTTAGTATTTTCAGTGACCACAATCGAATTGTTCGTATTTTGCGCAAGATACGCCATCGCATGGCTAACTACACTCAAATCGAGTTCTTGTCGTGACAATCTGATAAAGGGGTTGGATTTCTTCTGATAGGTGGTCTGCTTGAATTTAACACTACACTTCATGAGAGTGAGAAGGATGGTGGTAACCCTTGGAACGCTACTCAGGCGAATAGCCTACGTGATTTTATTCACGAGATGGGGCTCCATCATCCAGGATTCCTTGGGGACCAGTTCACCTGGACTAATAAGAGGATGGGTGCAGCTTGTATCCTTGAACGTCTGGATAGGGCCATTTGCTCCCAGCCTTGGATGGACCGATTCCCGGAGACCTTGGTCAAGCATTTTACTGATCAAGGGTCTGATCATCGGGCTCTTCTTCTCTCCGATAAATCCTATGCCAGAAATTGCCGCCCCCTGTTTAGGTTTGATGCTCGCTGGGCGGATAACCCGGAGGTTAGAGCAATGGTTAGTTATGTTTGGAAAGAGGATGTTCAGGGTACTCCTATGTTCTGCCTTTGGGAACGTCTCAAGAGGCTACGACACTTGTTATATGATTGGAGTCGGGCTGGGACTACCAATTCTTTACGGAATATTAATACTTTACAGGGCAAAATTGAGCGGATAAAAGGTTCTCATCCAATCGATTGGGAGGCGGTCCGGGTGTTAGAAGTGGAATTGAGCCGGCAATGGGAGGCAGAGGAGCTGTACTGGCAGTAGAAATCCAGGGTCAATTGGCTAAAAAAGGGTGACAAGAATACTTCGTATTTTCATACAGTGACCATGACCCGCCGAAAAAAGAACTTTGTGGAGGGTCTCTGAAATGATGAGGGGGTGTGGGTCACTGATGAACCGGGGAAGGCTGGTGTGGCGAATTCCTTTTATCAGCATCTCTTTACCACTGAGAACCATGTGGAGAACATGGCTGAGCGGGTGGCGGCTCTACCAATTGCCCGGAGTGTTGCTCCAACAATGAACGCCACCCTTACTGCTGAGGTGCTCCCTGAGGAGGTGCGAAAAATGGTCTTTGCTATGGGATCTAAGCGGGCTCCCGGTTAGGATGGTTTCACAAGAAGTTTTTAAGGCCTTTTGGGATATCGTGGGTCCATCGGTTATCAATGCGGTTTGTTCCTTCTTTGCTACAAGTAGGATGCTGCGCAGTTTCAACCATACTTGGCTTACGTTGATCCCAAAAGTGGAGAATGTGGAAACTATGAGACAATTACGTCCAATCAGTTTATGTCAGTTTGTCTATAAAGTGATCACTAAGATCATGATGGAAAGACTGGCATGCATCCTCCCACAAATCATCTCAGAAGGCCAGAATGCCTTTATACGGGAGCGTCGGATTGTGGACAGTATCCTCCTGGGACATGAGTTAATGCACTACTTGAAAATTAAGACGCGAGGCAAGAAAGGGTACATGGCCTTAAAGGTTGACATGGAAAAGGCCTATGATAGGGTCGAATGACCTTTTCTTCTCGCAGTCCTAGACAAGATGGGCTTTATTTCTGTCTGGCAGGGTTGGATTCATGAGTGCCTCAGGTCATCCTCGTTCTCAGTCCTTATGAACGGGGCTCCGTCGGGCTACTTTTCCCCTTCTAGGGGGTTGCGACAAGGCGATCCTCTCTCCCCTCTCCTTTTTGTAATTTGTACGGAAGTTTTTTCGGCCCTTCTTCGGAAGGCTATTGCTGAAAAGAGGCTTGAGGGTGTAAAAGTTGCTCCCCGGGCCCCTAGGATCTCGCATTTGTTTTTTGCAGATGACTCATACTTATTTTTACAAGGAACCCTTCAGGAATGTGAGAATCTGATGGTAGTCCTAAATAAATATGATGAACTGAGTGGTCAGAGGATAAACTTGGCTAAATCTGCGGTATGCTTCAGCAAGAATATTGTGCGAGAGGATCAGGAATTCCTGGCGGCAGTGCTGGGGGTGGGAGCAGTAGGGGTCCATGATAAGTATCTGGGCCTACCTACGCTGATTGCTCGGTCTAAAATGGCGACGTTCCGGTTCTTGGAGGCTAAGTTAATTGAACGCCTCCAGGGGTGGAAACAGCGGACGTTATCCTGGGCGGCTAAGGAAACGCTGATCAAATCGATTGCCCTTGCGTTGCCTCTGCACGTTATGTCTTGTTTTAAGCTTCCTGTCTCCCTATGTCGTCTTCTGGACAAGCATGTGTCGCGATTCTGGTGGGGTGATGCTGAGGGCCACCCTCGGGTTCGGTGGATGTCCTGGCGGAATATGTGCAGAAGTAAGCACGATGGAGGGATGGGATTTTGTCGGTTTGAACAATTTAATCAGTCGCTCCTAGCCAAAATTGGCTGGCGCATCCTTACGGAACCGCATTCCCTTCTCGCTCAGGTATACAAAGGCAAGTATTTCCCAAATGGGACGTTCTTGAAAGCTACGGCCCGCTCTCGGCCCTCTTGGGGATGGCAGAGTATTCTGTTTGGGCGTCAGTTATTAGAGAAGGGATTAAGGTGGCAAATTGGTAATGGGAAATCTGCTTCTTTGCTGAATTCCAATTGGATCCCGCAACTCCAACTTGATCCCCCGGTATTTAATCCTATGATCATTCCGGAGGGTGGTGATCCACCTGTAGAGGATGTCATCTGCCAGGGGGAAGGGCGGTGGGATGACCAAAAACTGAGTTAGTGGTTTGATCCTCCCTCTTGTAGGGCCATAAAAGCGATTCCTCTTCCTCGTCAGAATGTGGAGGACAAGTTAATTTGGCATGATACGACGGATGGGTTGTTCTCTGTCAAATCTGCTTACCATCTAGTTGTTGCTTTAGACAAGCGGAGAGATGGCTGGAAGGCCACGATTAGTTGGATGGATAAAGCGAGCTGGATCCGTTTATGGAATGCAAATATCCCCCCAAAGCTAAAAGTCTTTGTCTGGCAGATTCTTAATCGAATCTTACCAACTACTGAGGCCCTTATTAGCAAGCGAGTTCCTGTGCTCCCCAGATGTCCAGTTTTCTTGGACAGTCCGGAAATGATGGAGCATTTGTTTCTTGACTGCCCAGTGGCGCGAGCTTTGTGCGATTACTCAGGACTGGAGTACGTAGGGGAGGGTTTGCCTCGGCACACATTCCCATTGTTTCTTAAAAAGTTGATGGACTTGATTCACCAACCCCAGCTGTTCATGGCAGTGGTTGCTATCCTTTGACGGATTTGGCGCTCCCGTAACTGGGTGGTCTTTGAAGGCAAACAGTTTGGGTTCCCTGCCTTAATGCGTCAGTTTCATCAGCAATATGAGGAATGGGTTCGACTTCCGCTGGATAAGGTTTTCCAGCCTTCGGTCCCTTTGGGGGAAGGTATGGAGCTGGGCGAGACTGGGGGGTCGTGTGTATGTGGGATGGGACGGGTCGGCCAGGGTCGCATTCGGCTGATGGAATTGTCCTGTTATCCTCTGATAGGGAGGTCCTTCTGGTAAAGGGCGTCCAGTTTCCTCTATTGGAAGATCCGATGACAGTGGAGCTACTGGTTCTTAGGGAGGCGGTATTATAGTGTCTGGCGAATAGCTTCACTAATGTCCAATTTGAAGGTGATGCGAAGGTGATCATTGATAAACTCAATCAAGGGGATGTCAGAGATAATCGGGTGGTGCTGTTCTGGAAGAGGTCTTGCATTATTTTCGCATCCATCCTGGTTTGATGGTTCGATTTGTAGGTCGGAGTAGTAATAGAGTAGCCCATCTGGTGGCTAGGAAAGCCCTCTTTTTGTACCCGATCATAAATCGTGTCTTTAATTATCAGGCCTGGCTGATTTCCAAGATGTAATTATCTTTTTTGATATCAATACAAGATTATCTTTTGTCAGTAAAAAAAAAGTGGTCTGCTTGAATGTATAGATAGTAACAATACCTATCATGGCTGAGTTCTAAGTTCTAACTCAAGTTTCTTCGTACAGTCCCTTGTGTGAACTTTCCAGTTTGTTTAGGGATCGAGAGAGAGAAAGTAAAAAGTTAGTGAATCAAACAACCATACTTGCGAAATTCTGGGCACACAGTGAATAAAAAGTTAATTTAAGTACGATTGATGGTGGTCCCCACGTACCCAACATCAAGAGGCGATTCTCATCTTTTTCTTCCTCCTTTCGCTTTCGCTTTGCCGAATGCTGATTGCTTGTTCAGTTGCTGTGCTTTTATTAAGTTAACACCGACTTCTCGCGTAGCAGATTATACTCATTAGTTTCTTTTCCCCTCCGACGACAAAGGTACAAGACGGGAAGCCCTCCATTCCTTCCATCGGTCTCTGTTCTATTTTGAATTTCATCGTCATCGGAACCTACCGCCGATGAATTCCGCGACCCACATCAAATAATCGAAAGCTTCTTTTCCAAGCTGTCTGCTTGATTCTTGAGCTATAATTTGTATATCTGTATGTGGCCATACTTTGGACTAATCCCACTTTCTTCGTCTTAAAATGAATCAGGTTTCAGCTCCTGCATATTCGCCGGCGAATTTTGGCTTCTCGTGGTTTCTTGCTATCCCAAGGTTAGGCGGCCCTCATCTTTGAATTTCCCTTTTCTTGGACTCCAAACAAAACAAAGAAAGAAGATAATCGTAATGCATTTTAACTGCTCGACGAAATGCTTAGTCCAGCGCTTTGCTCTGTGTTTTCTTTGACAAGTGTCATCTGGGTTTGGTAGTAAAGCAGAAGATTACATCGGGATATTGGTGCATGGCGCCGTAGGTTGGTCGGTGTCACACCGATCAAATAGTTCGGCCGCGAAAGCCGATCAAAAGTCGGGTTCAACTAATCGAAATATCGAATCCCGTTTGGGTTTCATCTATAGTCACTAGTTGGGGAGTCTTTTCGGGCAATCAATCTAAGCAACAAGAAGTGAACACTCTTTGACTTTGTGATTTTATGTTTTCGGCTTGGTCGATGGGCCCGACTCCAACATCCTTGTTGGCGAGATGCAAGATTTTGAAGCCCATATCAAACGTGAGCCAAAACAGAATAAATGGCCGATACTCAAACCTTTTCTTCTTTGCCAAATTTCGTTTAGGCTACCTCAATTCCTCTGACCAAATTGAATTTTTACGCAATCAATTCCTTTCCTCGTCAATCCATATATCTGAAAAATAGTGATAAGCTGATCAGACGAATGATCTTAACTTTCTGCGGTGCGATGTGTCCTGATTGATAAATTTGGTGTGTAGTGCATCTGAGGCCTGGCCATTTCTCGCAGTTGAAAAAGAAAGATGGTTTCCGCGAATAGGGAAATGGCGGTGTATTGCTTTGACACTCTTGTTGCTCACTATAACAACGAGGAAGCCCCCCCTCCTGCCTTTGACGAGGGCCAACAGTAAACCCTTTTCTCCAATGCTTTTCCTCTCAACATTCATTGATTTGTTATGTCTGGGGTCATTTGATTCATTGTGATTCTGGTGCAAAGGAAACCCCTTCCTTTATCATTGTCTTTTGCCTAATTTCTTTCTGGAGACCCTCTTTTTAGAATGGTTCAGCGATTGATTTCATGGTTTGAGCTACTAATTGCTTGCTTTCTTCTTAATACTCTCTACAAGGTGCCGGAGGCTTCCCTGTCTTTCATTCTTATGAACTCTTTGCTGGTGTTAACGTATCCTTATACTTCACTAGGGTCGCCTTATCACCCATGAGTAGTCATAGACTAAACTGCAAGTTACTGTAAACCAAGATTTCTGCTCTTTTCCCCTTTAATTATCAAATTGAGAGGGTGATGTTTCCGTGAATCTTATACCAAGTTAAGCTTTTCAGCGTTTGCTACTAAAAGACCTGGCTGTCGCAACTTTTAGAAGATTGAAACAAGACATATGTTTATCAAGATTAAAATAATACATATTTTTTATGGAAATGTTTCTATTTGGGGGTCTGAATAGAAATCAATATTATTTTGAGGCTTTTAGCTGACAACTAACTAACTATTCATAAACAATTATGGGCTGTTTTCATCTCTTTTTCTGTTCTTTTCTTTTCTTTTCTGTTCAGTAAAATGTCTATAGTTGATAGTTCTTTGTCCACTTTTGCTTTAATGAATAATGTTTCGAATAGGAGCTTTATTTAAACAAATGTAGCTGAGACATTTTGGTTGAACTTAGAACTAAAGATCTCGGTTTCAAGCTGGTGCTCCATTAATGCAAGAAACGAGGTCAAGACAATGCTAGGAAGCTTTTCATTGGACTTGTATCCAGGCTTTTCAAAGGAAACAAAGGAAAATTTGTATGCTTGCTAGTCATACTTATAATTATGGATGACTCCACTAGCGGTAATCATGATAAACTCTTTAGATTCAAGCAAATTTTTGAGTTTTGTTCTTTCCCTTCTGTATCTTTCCCATGATAATATTTTCTTTCTTATTTTGGTCTCTCCTATATTTAGTTTGCTCAACTGTTTCTTTCAATAGCGGTGATCTAATATTGACAGAGTCGACCTTGCAATCAGACATCCATTCAGTATGCAAATGTTAAATCTTTTCATTTGCTTACGTTTATCCTCACAATGAATGCTTCTATATTTGCTCTGAGCTGGATATAAGGGTGATGAACGTTCTCCTTTTTTTCCCTCTCTCTCCAGTCCATTGTTTGTTACTTGGAAGAAAGTGGTCAATGGTGGTGAGCCTCGTTTACGTGGATGCATTGGGACTTTGGAAGCTAGAGGTTTGATTAATGGATTCAAGGACTATGCTTTAACCAGGTATTGATGATAATGTGTTCCTAATGCAAGAAACATTTATTTATTTTGTTGTAACCTATGTAAAACAGATGAGAGAGCTTTAACATGTGGAAATCACTATTAACAGTGAACTTTGTAAATGTTGTTAAAATTGATTTAAATTGTGTAAACGATGCATTTCTATTTGACCCAAATCTCCTAGCGAAACTGTACAAACCATTAGAGGGTCTGTTGGTGTCTTCGAATTTCAGGATTACTTATAGAATGTCCTGATTGCTGCATTGTCTTGAAGATGAGGTTTAGTTCTTATAAGTTTTGTCCCTGTACCTTTTTAGTTGGATCCAAATAATTTCCTTCACTGATTTATATGTGAGGATAAGATGAAGTTCTGTACTAAAGTTGCATTGCATATCAGTGCTTTTAGGTTGCGTACAAAGTTGCATTTAGAAATTGCATTGTTCTTCATGCATAGTTAATTTATCTTGTGACTGTTTTATCTGGAACACTTCTGAAACAATTCGTACAAATACCTGATTTCATTGTTTTTGGACTTTCTCTCACGTGATATATGTTGCACCCCTGCCTCTGTATGTTGCTTACGATTTTGTATATGGACACAGTGCTTTAAGGGACCGCAGGTTCCCTCCAATACAGGCCAAGGAGTTGCCTTCTCTAGAATGTACAGTATCTATTCTAACTAATTACGAAACTGCTAACAACTATCTTGACTGGGAGGTATGTTATTTTCAACTCATTTTTCTTGGAATGTTGAGATTGTAATCTTTCCTCTAATTACTGAGTCATTATACCCAGAGTGTTGTATAAGCATATTTATGGTCTTCCTTTTTTGAAGTATTTGCTACTGTCCTCAGGGTCCAAATCTTAGGCAGTGAATGGAAGTTTTGAGTTAAGCATGCATCTTCAAGTCAATGTTGCAGCTACTGCATACCCTAAATGCAGAAGACCTTTTATGATTAATACTGTAACAGTTGAAATAGAAGCATAATCTAATAATACTCAGGGCCCTCTGGATATGTATTGTTAAATCCTTGCAAGTTATAACTATATGGTGATCTTGTTTTGAATTTTATCGAAAGGCTCTCTCTTTAAGCTTTTAAAAATTTCATGTTCGTAGCAAAATGTTGCCTTTTACATCCTTAAGAGAATGAAAATAAATCGTTCTTCACAAATAATAAGGTTTTGCATATTACTTTTGAATGCATGTATCTTGTTGGATCCTTGGACTATTATTGGTTAAAAGTTTGAGTCGCAAGTGGCCATCAAATTGGTCAATGGTGTGACGGACTTATTTTTACAAAATTTCGTAACATGGTGATCTTTTCAAGTAGGGCACACCGGCACAGCATCTTATCACCTTTTGGAAAGAAAATAACAGCTCTTACTTCTGATGATCCTGATTGCAGGTTGGGGTACATGGTATGATTATTGAATTTACTGACCCTAACAACCAGACTAGGCGGAGTGCCACATATTTGCCTGAAGTGGCTGCCCATGAAGGTAAAGATTATTAGTTTGATCAGAGGTTGCAGATGCTTTTGGTTTTTTTTTGTTCAAAAGGTTAATCATTGTTCTTAAAATGTTGCGGCGCCCCATTCATCCGTAATAGAGAATGCTTGCACAAACATTAGGATTACACATATGTCAAAAGCTTGATCAATGAAAATGATCGGGATTGGGAAGTGGATTTCATTTCTTTCTTCGTTATAGAAGTCCAAAGAAATATGCCATAAGCCTATTCCTGAAATTTTCTTTCTACTTTATTTGTGTGTGATTGCGTAACTAAGAATCTGTTGCAAGGCATTTTGAAAGTAACAGTTTCCTGCACTGCGAGGGGTGATTTCAGGTTGGGCAAAATTGGAGGCAATCGAGTCGCTGATGCGCAAAGCTGGCTACAATGGCATCATCACCGAGTCACTTCGAAAGTCTATTAAACTGACACGTTACCAGAGCACGCTTTTCACGATGACTTACAGCGACTACATCTCGTATGTGAAGGAAACCAGGGGGGTTGCAGCTCCGATTATTAATGGGGTTAGTACTAAGCTTGCCATGTATTGATTCTTTCTTCTTCCAATCCAAGTATATTTGGGACAAAGAAACAACTTGGCTGTCAACTCAAAAAGGAAACACATGGTTCTTTCATTGTTGGTGTCATGCCATGGCGACCAATTTGTATTCAGAACTCCATGATGGCTGAAAATTTGGCAGCTTATGATCTTCTGTTAGTGTCATGTCACTGCGACGAGTTTATATTCATGTTCAAAACCACGATGGCTGAGAATTTGGCAGCTTTCTGTGTGGGCGGCAAGGAGTTGTTCTGTGAACTCCTGGTTTCCTTGGTGGACTGCATTACGAATGTTGGTTTTCATTTGGTAACCATGTTTGCATTCTGTTCCATATAAAGCTTCCCTTCAGAAGCTGTCGTGGCTTTTAATGGAGTCAAGTCTGTTAACTAATCTGTTATTCATCTTTGGACAGTATTAGAGATGACAAAAAACTGCTTTGTTGCTAGCTCCTGAGTAGGGGTGTCAGTTCGGGTCGGGTTTGGTTACCCGAACCGAAATTCGAAAAAACTCGAAAACCCGAAATCGAAAACCACTAAAACCGAACCCGATAAGGACTTGCGGTTTCCGGTTACCCGAAACCCGAAAATTTCTTATCGGGTTCGGTTAAAGCAAAACCGATACCCGAAAACCTGAACGCCTAAGAATACGAGTTGAGTTATATTCATTGGAGGTTCTTAGTCGGAACCCGAAAAACTGATAAACAAAACCGAACCCGAAATCGAAAAATCCGAAACTCAAAACGAACCCGAATCCGAAAAACCGAAAATGTATATAATCGGGTCGGTTTTGGGCAAACCCAAAAAACCGAACCCGAATGGACACCTCTACTCTTGAGGAGAGTTCCTGCCTCAGCCCTTCAAAGTGGTTTGTTATATAAAACTTGGTCGGCATGTGCACGAGCTAAGGCTATGTGATCGGAGATCTCATTGCGGAATGCCATAATGGCTTCTTACTCTAAAATCACGCGCAAGTTGGAGACTGGATAATGTTTGTGTTTTAAATCTATGAAAGAAAAAAAATGTGTGTGATTCTCAGCTAAAAAAGTAGTTGATTGGAATATGTAGGTTTTCTTTTGAACTTTTTTAGGGTGAATATATATTGTGTATAATCACTAGTCGGTAGATATGATATATTCAAATCATTGGTTTTGCTTGTAATTAAGACAAAATATGTATAGCAACCAACCAACCAACTCTGATCTATTCTCTAGTTCTCACTGCATTTTAGACATGAACACCGTCTGGCCTCATGAATTCTTACAAAACTAGCATTCTTTTGTTCTCCTTGAAGCGGCTCTACTTCAATCTCACAAAGATGATTTCTATACATGTATTCTCGAAATACACTATTTCATCACACCACGTTTCAAATTTAGAAAGCCTTAATAACCCTTTCATCTTTAGGTTTGCCCTTATTATTGGATATTGTCTCATCATGAGAATGACGCGTGACAGCCTCACGCGTCGCGAACTTAAAATACGAAAATTAAAGAAAACTGAAAATACTAGAGTTTATTCTTTTTCGATAAATAAAATGTATGGGTTAAGGTACATATTTATAGGACGCATCCTATAAACCCCTTCCCCTAACAAGGTAATCCAAACCGAATCCAACTCCTAAACGATTTACTACCTAAACAGAACAATAATAATCCGAAATAACTAATGTAAACCTAGAAATACCCCAATAAGAATAGTAATTAATAAACTGAAAATGCTTCCCTTGCAGCCCGCCTTGCAAATGCATCAATCCTCCCCCCCTGACAGTCTCGTCCCGAGGCTGTCGTTCTTCTTCCTCATCCCCCGATCATGACAAATTTGGATAATTTGGTGTGGTTACCGCGGTAACCGTTTTAACTGGTAGTATTTGGTTAATTTGGATAATTGGTTTGATTTGGTTAACAAATTTAGCTTGTTTGGTTTTGGTGGTTTGGTTTCATACACTGCTAACCAATCAAACCAAATTAACCAGTTAAATAATTATCCATATATCTAATATATATTATATACACATACTTAATTGGCATAACCACTCAAGAGCCAAACATTCATTCCTTTTAATAAATTTCACTATTGTTCATATACAATATATTTGTATTTCTAGAGTGTAGACCATGATATATGAACGCCCAATTTAGATAAAATTCATACAATATATTAGATGAAAACTTAAAAGGAAGGTCTTTTTCAACCTATGATAATTGCTAAGAGACTAATTCAATTCACACAATCACACCAATTAATTAACTCCATACTATTGACATATATTTTTTTTATGGTTAATAAAAAATGCGCGCCAGAACCCTTGCAACTAAGGGCCCTCTCAAAAATACAAAGTATACTGATTACGAACCATCATCAAACTGAAATAAGACTACAATAAGCTATATACTACCATAAACTCTATACTACTGAAAACTAGACAAAGCATTTTGCGTATCTATCCGACTATTAATATAAAAAAACTAGTTTCTGATCGAATCCGGGTCACTAGCTGTGGAGGATGTTGTAGGCCACTTCCATAGCATCTTTGGCATCTCTCCTTCCACACAGAACTCATTACCATATTCCAAAGCAACTTACCTAGTTTGAGTTTAACATTTGAACTATCCCAGAACCTCACAGCCCAACTCACAGAATCATGCTAGGTAGAGAAAACAGGAAGCGGAGAGAAGTAAACTAAGTTGTGCTGCAGGACATAGATAGTATATGAGCAAGATGTAAACAGGTGGTCTCAAGATTCAACACCTCCTAGACAGAGCACACGTGCTACCTCATATGTCTTCCCCCATGCTGCAAACTTATCACGAGTGTAGTTTATATCGAGCATAATTAGCCATAAGATCAAGCCATGCTTAGGGATAGAGAATTGTCCCCAAACTAACTTAGACCATGGAACTAAAGTGTGAGAAGCTCGGATAGAAACTCAAACCTTTTTCACTGAGAATCTAGGCATAGGCTGACCTGACCATCGCAGAGATGTACCATCACCCGTAATGAATTGACATATATTTTTGTCAGGTGAATACTTCTATTGACTATAAGACAATTGTATTAGTTGTATGTATTTCTGTAAGGGCTAAATATAACTATGTGTTCATTGCAGTGTTTTATTCATCATATAACTTGTGAATTGATGCGTTAACCAAAAATTTTCTCACTTAATGATAATGTGATGTTATATTGGTTAATCTGGTTAACCAATTAACCAAATTGATTAAACTTTACTTTGGTTAATTTGGTTGTTGTATTAGTTTGGACGGTTTGGTTATGATATTGGATTCCATGGTTAATAGAATTTTAGCTTGTTTGATTTGGTAATTATCATGGTAAGCATTTGAACACTCCTAGTTGTTGACACAACAATGACCATAGGTGAACCGCTCATCACAGTTGTAGCAGAGCCCATCCCTCCTACGCTTGGTGGCCTCCTCTGGCGTCAAATTACTTATAACTCGACGAGCTAGTGGTGATGGCCCGCGTCCTGGGGCTGGTGGTGGGGCTGGTGCGGCTGTGGCAGTAACGCTTGGCGGGGAGTCACCGACTCCAGCTCTCCTTGCTGGTGTCGTCGGGGTCCCTCGAGAGGAGGTCCCACTCGCCGTCTTCTCCACACGAATTTCCTCCTCCCGAATCTTCGTTAGCTGATATGCATCTCTCGTATTCTGTGGATTAAAGGCCCGGATGTATGCGGAAATCTTCGATTTCAATCCACCCATGTAAATGCCCATGATGGCCTCTTTTCCACAGCCACGACAGTAATTGAGCAATTTTTTGAAGGTCTGCTGATATTCTTCCACAGATCCTGACTGCTTGATCTTGGCCAGTGCTTCATGTCCTGCGGCTTTCTCTGAAGCCCCATACCGCTTCCAGAACTCTTCGCGAAAGTCTTACCACCACCTTGCTCGAATTCCTCTTCCAACCACATCACTCACTGGTTGGCATCTCCCTCGAGATGAAATGCGACTAGGGCGACATTCTGATCTTTCGTAATCCCCTGGTACTTGAAGTATTTATCCACCCTGGACATCCAACCAGATGGATCTTCATGGTAATTGAAGCGGGAAAACTCGATGGTAGCAGTTCGCTCTTTGAACAAGGCTCCAGCGGCCTTGCCCTTGCCTCCGACTTGCCCTGACCCGAAAACTCATGACACAACTCGCTTAGTCCGCTCGATGTCGCCCCACCTGGCTGGATGAATCCCGACGGATGGTTCGTCCCTGCCTCCCATCTGACGGCTCGATCGCCACCCGAGACTCCTCGACCCAGGACACCAACACCCGACCTGGACCCGAGGTACCCTCATGTCTCGCTTGGGGCACCCTGCTCCACCTGATGCTGCCCCGACCCGCTGGCTGCAGCTCCCAATCCAACGACACTTGGACCTGTCGATCCCCCAGGTTCGTCGGAGGTGCTGTTGCATTCGTCGACGGAAGGTGGTTGCCCCTAGTATCCATCGCCAAGCTTCCCAACGCGCCGCCTAGGGCCTGGATCGCGTGGTCTCTCGTCTTTAGCAACTCGACGCCCCTATTTTAGCTTCCCTTGCCCGTCGTCACATCGGGAGTCATGATCATATGAGAAGAACTGCTCACCTTACCCTCGGACTCTGCCGCGCTTCCCTTCAGTTTTTCGCTGGCCGCAATCATGTCGACAGTCCTCCTACGCTCCTCCCCGCCCTCCCTGGGTTTCCGGACTCTTTTCGCCCGACGAGCGTCAGCTCCTTAATTGTCTGCGTTAGGTACACAATGTTGGCTTAGACATCCACGTTGTCGAGATCGATCCGGCCGTCAGTCACCTCCTGTCCTTGTTTCAGCTGGTCATAACGATCCCGAGACTCGTGGTCGATGCGCTCCATTCGGACCCGGAGCTCGTCTTGTCCTTGCTGCAGAAGATCGGTTGCCGACCAAATCTGCTGGAGACCCTCCTTCATCGATCGAAGACGGCGATCAATCCCTTTCACCCTCGTCCTCAACTCTGCCAGCACTCGGCACGCATGGCCGCTAGCCTCCTCGTCGCTCGCGTCCTGCAAAGCAGCCGCGTTCTTCTTCGGCGGCATAATCCCGGTTCTTGTCGAAACCGGGCTCTGATACCAATTGATGTGTGACAGCCTCACGCGTCGGGAACTGGAAATACGAAAACTAAACAAAACTAAAAATACAAGGGTTAATTCTTCTTCGATAAATAACACGTAAGGGTTAAGTACATATTTATAGGACGTATCCTATAAACCCCTTCCACCCTAACAAGGTAACCCAAACCCGAATCCAAATCCTAAATGATTTAGTACCTAAACAGAAAAATAATAATACGAAATAACTAAAGTAAACCGAGAAATACAAAAATAAGAACAGTAATTAATAAACCGAAAATGTATCCCTTTGAGATAATTTTGACTAGGGCTGGCTATTTGGACCGGGACCGGATGAAAAACCGGAAACCGGACCGTATAACCCGGACCGAGACCGTATAGTAAACAATCCAATCCAATCTTTGGGCTTAGATTTGAGGTAAAAAACCGGATAAAGACCGGATAAGAGAGCTCAACACCCAAAACTTAAGGGTGATTTGCATAAACGGTCACAAACCTTTACACTTAGTACAAAACTTAACCAACTCCTCACCCTTTTAGGCCTTAGGCCACTCAAATTCCCACAATCTCAATATAAAATCAAGATCGAATTGGGACCGGACCGGGTCAAGACCGGACCGGATCAAGACCGGAATGTATCCAATCCAATCTTCGGTCCTTATATTTTCAAAAAAACCGGACTGGACCGGATCAATTTGGGCCAATTTAACCGGACCGGACCGTATAGCCACCCCTAATTTTGACATTGTCGCACCATCAATCAGAACTTTGTTTTCTCCTTAATCCTAGAGGTTGAGGCTGCCAATTCTACTAGGTAGAGTTACTGACATAATGATTTGTGGGCCACATGTCCACTCCCTTTGATGCTTTAATTAATCTCTTGGTGGACCTTCTTACCATTTTATCTAAAAGTGATCAACTCAGATAACTTCGATAAAGATTAATCCATAAATAGTGTTATGTTTCCATATCTACGATGAGATTTAAGTTCTTGCAATAACAACTTTGTACCTTTACGATGTGCATTTATTGATCTTAGTGTTTGCAGGCCATACTATTGACCTTCACCGACCCTAGAGTGGGTATTACAGTTTGACTTGGATGCTTCCCAAGATCATGCTCCCCATTAACCATAAGTGCATACATTAATAGATTATGTCTTTTGTTTGGTATTCTTACCTTCACCGACCCTAGAGTGGGTATTACAATACAACAAAGTCTCGTCTCTTTTGATTCACTACACATCATGTATTTTGATTTGGTATTCTTGCCTTGCAATAATTTCATAACATACTTCTTAATACATTATTATGGTGTTGAAGTCTCTCCACTTTATTGGCATTAGAGTACTTGAGCTTCACAAGTATCTCTTTCAATGTAGTTACATTTGTGACTTAGCTTAGGATTTAGATAAAGCCCTTAAGTTTCCACACCACTTCACTTGGATATCATTTTTTATAATAAAAATGTCCATATCATCGTTATTAACAACATTATATGCCACATAAGTCTCTCAGGCTTAACCAAGTTATTTGATTTGTCTTTTAAACTTACTCAAAATAACATTCAACTAAGTGACAAAAAAATCCAAATGACATTCTACATATCTTCTTCCCAATATATCCCCTCATTTCAGTTATTTTGCCACTATAATAGTATGTTACAGAGATTGTCGAGATGCAAGAAAATAAGACAATATTTTTCAGAACATTCTCACTATTTCTCTTATGAGAAAACTCCTATTTACCCGTAATTGTGAAAACGTTTGACAACCGAAACCCAGAAGAAAGAAATAGCTCAAAGAACATACAAAGGAAATGGAGATGATGACGGAATGACAGTAGTAACTAATCACTTTGCCATCGCATGCCCCACCCTCAGGCAGATATTTCGTCTGCGCTCTAGTTATGTGAGAAAATAAAAAGGAAAGGAATAATAGGCAACCACATGAAATGCAACCAACACCTCACAAACCCTTTGAAACTATATCCACTCCCCATAATGAGCAGATGTGAACATTAGAGATCAGAAATACACCCCCAAAAACCCAAAGGGATAACCCAACAAAAACAAAACAAAACAAATAAGCCAAGCCAGAAACAACAGCAGCAAAAAACTAGTACTGGTTTGTTGGTTGCAGAGGACATTGCCATACCAGCACCCACTCCTTTCCATCTACAGACAGACAAACTAAGAAGAACACATTTCACAGTAATGGCTATGAGAAATTGCTTTCAAGTAACCAGCAGTTCCTGCAAGGTTGGAATCTCTGCTCACTGCACAACCCATTCACTTGCCTCAGCAGACAAGCTCAACTTCCCATCTTACACCAGAAGAAGAGATTTCAACAACTCACTCGCCACCTTACCAGCTTCCAAACCAAGGAGATCCCACTTCATTTGCAGAGCTCAAGAAGCCCTTGACCAAGGTATTTTCCCCCCTCTCTCTCTCATCTCTCCCTTACTGTTAAGATTTGTGTTTTCATGGCTTACTGACAAATCCATTGCTAAATTTTGGTTTTTAACCACCACAGTACAGTATTTGTGATAACGTAGATTGAACCTCCAATTAGCTTTGTGTTAATGTAGATTGGAATCAGGTCGGGTAGTGACCATCTCCATGGGTTTCACATTTTGAAGTGAACTACTGAATGTTAGCATAATGGTTTTGTGCAGTTAAACCAGTGACGGATAAGACATGGGACAACCTGGTGATAGCATGTGACAACCCAGTCCTGGTGGAGTTCTGGGCGCCATGGTGTGGACCATGCCGGATGATAGCTCCGGTGATCGACGAGCTTGCCAAGGAGTACGCCGGGAAGCTGTCCTGCTACAAGGTGAACACCGACGAGAACCCCAACATTGCTAGCCAGTATGGGATCAGGAGCATCCCAACTGTGCTCTTCTTCAACAAGGGCGAGAGGAAAGAGAGCATCATTGGTGCTGTCCCTAAGTCCACTTTGTGTAGTACTCTAGAGAAGTACATTGATGGTTGAGAAGAAGAACAAAAGACAAACATAATTTCCTCCAATGCCCTTTTTTTTTTTTTTTTTTTTTTGCAAATTCAACCACTTTGTTCTCCAAGTTACAGTAGTATTATCTGACGATGATGGTCTAAGACACATGTGTATAAACAAGCATCTCTATGTATTTGGAATGCTCCTCCTGCTGCAGCCTCAATTTTACAGCACAAGATACCTGATATAGTATATAGCCAACATTTCCTTAGAAGGGTTTATTTGGGATTCGAGTATTTGATTCCTAGAATCCAGCGATTTCGGAGACTTCGAGTGAGCCAGAGAATTAGGGCTGCAAGCGAGCCGAGTCGAGTTGAGTTTTTGCTTAGCTTGAGCTCGGCTCGTTTATAAATTTTTTAGCTCGAGCTCGGCTCGAACTCAAATTTTGATCACCCAGCTCGAGCTCGAGCTCGACTCGATTAAAAATAATCCAGCTCGAGCTCGGCTCGATAAAGCTCGGTAAATGCTCATTAACACAGGTTGTCAAGCTGAGTACAAGCTCGACTCAAGATAAGCTCGATTTGAAACCATTCTTGCTGAAAAATGTGTACAAATAAGAACATTAGAAATTAAAAATGATAAAAAGAACACTAGAAACTAAAAATAACATCTAACTTCCATACACATCCTTATTAACAAGATAATTTTCATGTTCAGAAGAGTAACTAATCCTTCCACAAGTTTTAAACAAGCCAACTCGCGAGCTTAGCTCAACAAGCCACCGAGTCAAGCTAGCTCACGAGCTTATCAAGCCGAGCATGGCCTAGCTCAAGCTTGGCTCGTTTACTAACGAGAGCCGGCTTGTTAAACAACGAGTCGAGTGTCGAACGAGTTTTTCCCGATTCGAACGCCGAGTTGCTCGCGAGCGGCTTGGCTCATTTGCAGCCCTACCAGAGATCCTTATACTTTCAGATCCAACGGACGATGCCGCATGCATGCATTCAAGCAAACAAGCTGACCACTAACGAACTCCTTCTAAATGGGTTTGTTTGTATTTGCGGATCAAGACCATGCAAGAGTGTTAGCCCGGAAGAATGCTGAAACGATATCAAGGCGCATTCGAAGAGGATTAAATATTTCATTGATGATTGACGGGGAAAAAACCTATGCTATATGTTTCACTCTTTTCTCTGGAAATTAGTACACAGTGAGTGAGCGGCCGGGGCAAGGAAAAAAACCTTAGGAAGAAGAATCCCACCCACGCATTTCATCCCACGTAGCAATCCCAGCTTCGTTGCTCTCTCTATCTCTCCCTCTTTTCTCAGGGGCCACAACAAATTCTCGCCCAACACTGGTGCTCTCTGCACTGCGTCCAGCACAAGCAGCAGCAGCAGATCATATAATCAACACAACAGCAGCGAGCTGCGTCACAGCATCATCATGACTGGCAAGAGAATACAAACAGCATGTTGTGTGTATTTCAAGGAGACGGTTTCCAATCAAACTGCAGATTGTTGAACCCATTAACCGCTCCTAATCCGCTAAGCAACTGGTTCCCCAAATCCTGCTGTTGTTGATGATGATTATGGTGGAGGTGGTGGTTCATTGCTTGCTCTCTCACCATCGACGCCATCGCCATCCTTCCATTCATCATCAACGAGTTGTTATTGTTATTACCACCACCACCCACCATTGCAGTAGCTCTCATCCCGTTCGCCATGGCAACAGACTGGCCCCCAACTCCAACACCACCCATCGAACCAAATCCACTACCACCCATGTTATTCAAGTTGTTGATCATGCCACCGCCAATGTTGCTGTTTGCCTGCAGAATCCCGTTGGCGGGGTTGACAGTCTTCACATCATTCATTTGATTATTCATCATAATATCGTGAATGATTTTCTGGACAGAACTCTGAGAATCCCCATGGTCGCCATCACTAGAAAGAGCCGGCTGCTGTTGCTGCAGTGGAATATTGTTTGCTGGAGTACTATGTCCAAGTTGTGGAGCACTGGATGAGGAAGGAGTGGGAGACTGGAAAGGAGAAGGGTTAGGTGGTTGCTGAGCTGGCACTGTATTGGATGAACCGGGAGAAGGAGCCTGAGCCTGAGCTGAGTTGTATGGGCTGCTTGCATTATTATTGATGGAGCTCTGTGGTTGTTGTCTTGAGTTCATGGAGTTCTGGTGGAGAAGTCCGACGATGGTGCTTGCTGAGGTTGTTGTTGCAGGTGGGGGATTTAGGACATTATTTACGGACTGCATACCGTTGCTAGAAGCAATTTGCATTGCCCCGGCTTGGACGGAGCTCGGGTCACTGTTTGAGTTTTGGGGAACTGCCTGTTGCTGATGCGGCGGTGGTGCTGGTGAAGTTTGCTGTTGTTGCTGCTGTTGCAGTTGGTCCTCTGATGGTTGAACTTGAGCGCTGAACCCGGATGAAGCATTTGTTCTTCGAGGGAACTTGGCCAGACTCTCTGTAAACAAAATAAAATTAGATTGAGAAGCTGGTTGATCAAGAGGCCCCAACTTCTGCCGACTGATTAGTTCACATGCAGCCAAAAACAATGAATATCATAGTAGGGAAGGAAAAACTAATAATGTTACCCATAGGTCCAGTCCCTGTTTCTCGGCTGTAATCAATCAAATCTTTCATGCTGTTAACCACCTCTGATATCTGCAACCAAAGGAGAGCCAAAAAAATAGCTAAGATAGATATGTATGACTTGTTTTAGCTACCAACTAAACTAGACAGTAAAACAATATGTTTAGCACATTGACAGCTGGTGGTGTCCACATTAGAGCATTTGATACAAGTTGCAAAGATGTAGCAATTTAAACTCTAATTATGATTCGGCTAGTTATGTGCATCTGAACTTATGATCAGACTGTCCAATACTAAATTCTTGATCAGGTGTATATTACCTAAACTCTCTAAAAGCATTCGGAATTTACCGATCCCAGTACAATTAAGAAAAATGAATATGTACTAGGAATTGACTTACCATTTAGCACTTGAATCTGTTCAGAGATGGCAGACATCATATTGCTACCAAACCGATAATTAAGATCCGAGACACAACATTGAGATACATGGTCCAAGTTGAAAAATATTTAGTGGTTCGATGGATTTGAGACAGTATTCATAAAAAGATGGAGTTGAGACTCAATGAGACAATGACTCAAAGAGTAACTCGAGGGAAAATGATACGGCATGAGACATCAATAGACAGCAAAGTTCATAAAAAAGGTTCCACATATCATCCTACTCAAGAAGCAGAACATGAAATAGCAATTTCTACTAAAATAATGTCAACAGAATATGTATCATATGGCCAGAGAGAGCAAACAGCAAAGCTTGTTAAACAAAAGGGACAACAATTACATTAACATCTTCAGCAATGCTGAACACAGGAGAAAGGTATAAGTTTTACCTGAAGACAACGAACATATCTTTTCGTATACCCCAAATCATTCACCAAAGGCACTTCCAAGGCTTTTGCAAGCTGGCGAGCCGATGCAACAAACCTGAAAAGTGAAAACAGATCAATCACTATCAAACAGATTTTACATATTTACATCCCACGTCATCCGGACCTTCTTTTTTGTAAGGGAAGGATATTGTACAGGCATATTGTCTCAACACAAGATAGAAACCAACAAATTACTTACATATTACAATTATTTTGCAACTCCTGAACAGACAAATTGGATGATGTATTTTGAGTGGCAGCTTGATATTTTTGAGCTGCAGTACCAAGCTGACTGACCTGTGAATGTCAACATAAGTTTCCACATATCAGTCATGAAAAGGCGCATTCTTACTGAGCTTTAGCACAAGTGCACAGGATAACTTACACCTTGTCATATCAGTATTGGGTTCAGTAATAACAAAAAGTTCAGCTGCATGATTAACATGATCCTCAGACAATCCAAAGGAACCAACATGCCAGCAAAAGTTGAGCACAATCAAATACATAATAGTAACAAACTGATATCCTTCACATCCCGCAGCCCTTGCATGAAATGTCTCAGGAATATGTGTCTTGGACTTCAACAACAAAATTATGAGAGCTTACTATACTTTCCTAAGTTCGAGGTCGATAGAGTTGCCATGACAACATATATTTCAAGGAACGGAAAGCGCAACACACTTGAACAAGAATAATTGATAGATTTTCCACCATTAATAGTGTGCATATCAACAATCATTAACGTGAGTAAATTTATCTTGTAGAATCAAAAGAAAAAAATCATTTAACTCACTTATATGATTACAACACATGCCTATGACTCCATGGATAACCCTTAAGAACAGAAACGAACACAAAACTGAACTAAAAGGAAACAACCAGCAAGTCTAACATAGAGGAATGTAGAAATTAGGGGGAACTTATATAAAGTCCTTACACGAGCATAACTGAGCATAGAAGAGAAATTGGCCAAAAGAATGTAAACAAGACCACCAAAATTGCACCTAGTTGTGGGAAGTTACTAAAATGGTTCAGGTCACATTTCTTGCACTTTATCAGCTAAATATAAGAAGAAAAAAATGGCAATGCACTATGTCAAGTGTTTTGCTAGTAACCTGGGGTACAAGCAATCTTCTAGGAATAAGCTCTTCATGACGCCGAGCGCAAAACTCCCAAGAACATATCTGGAGAACGAGCAAATTCCAAAATCAGCCAGCAAAATGGCACAAAATTGCAATTGGATCTGGAAATCTGTTCATCCATATTTTTACCTTTAGTTCAGGTGAGAAGACAATTCGCAGTTGACCATCACGAACAACACGAAGTTGCTCAAATACGCTTTCTTGTATTGCTTTTGCATAATCCAAGACAATTTGACCCGACGAGTTAGGATACTCGTGCGGCATGTCAACATAAAGTAGTTCTTCCAAAGTGCCGCTTTCATATTTTATTTTGAAAAGCCGGGGAAGAACCTCAACAGTGGCCTCTGCAAGTGCAGTACAGTATACAAAATAAGTGTGAGAATTGAAAAAAGGGACAGCAATTAAAATTAGCATGTGGCCCATACCAAGAACTACATAATACTACACAGTGAACAATAATGTGCATTTAGAACACAGAAGAAAAAGATAAAGCACATACCAAAGCCACGGCCCGGTTTGCGATTGCATATCTCACAATGCCATACATCCTGCAAAATAGGCAAGCAATAATTGACCTAGTTAAGCAAGACACCAAAAATTCTCTACCAATTTTATATGGCTTGTAGACCATTTGAAACACAGCAACCCATAACAAGAGTGATGTTGAAATAATAAGAAAATCAGTTAGTTTAAGCAGACCTGGGGGAAAACACCAGGTGCCTGTCTACCACTTCCATACATGGAAACACACCACTTCTTCCTTGCATTGGGAGCAAAGTACTCCGCTACAAACTTTCTCCAGAATTCTATGTTGTTGTCCTGGACAAACAAGTAGTTGCAGTTACGCATCAAAACAGAACAGTCCCAAATATAGCTCTTCGAGCTAGGAAAACTTACTTCAGGTCTATGTTGTTGTTGATACATGTAACGTGTTAAACGTCGGGCACACATTCCAGGTTCATACACAGGTTTCGCCGGAGATCGAAGAGGCAAATTCTGTGGCTGAAACTGTTGTGGTAATTGAGACCGTTGCTGCTGAGGCATTCCTTTCAAGAGTTGTTGCTGCTGTTGATGGTGTTGAAGCTGCATCAGTCTTTGCTGATGCAACAGGTTCAATTGTGCAGCAGCCTGAGAAGACTGCCTGGACATGTGAAGGAACTGCTGCTGATGCTGTTGCTGCTGCTGCTGCTGGTGTTGCTGTTGATGCAGGAACAATGATTGGTCTGAGTGCTGTTGTTCTAACTTCAATGGTGCCAAAGTTCTCATTGTCTGCATTTGTTGAGGTTCCAGCTTCACAGGACCTAAGTTCCGAAGTGGCTGCAACTGCTGTTGTTGCTGCTGCTGCTGTTGTGTGCCATGTTGATCATTAGTCGCTTGTGGTTCCATCTTCACAGCACTCATTCCTCCTCTCACAGTCTGAAACTGGTGCTGCTGCTGCTGAGTACTGTGAGGGGCAGAAAACTGCTGCATCGGCTGCTGACTCTGCTGAAACGACTGAGCATCAAGCTGTTGAGGTGGCTGCTGCTGATCTGGCAATAACTGGTTACTACCAGAAGGAGGGTTTGAAAACTGCTGACCCTGACCTTGACCAGATGGACCAGCGCTGACCATATTTGAAGATGGCACAAAAGAAGATGAAGGGGAACTGAACCCCATTCCATTAGCCGAAAGTGGATCTGACTCAGCACCAGTGTCCATACCTCTATGCTGACTACTTCCAGGACCAGAAAGACCCGGGTTTTGACCACCATTACCAAAAGACTGATTGAGTAAAGACGACATATTGGGCACACCTCCAAGCATATTCATGTTATTAAACTGAGTACGTGGAGAGACTAAAGAAGGGAATGCAGATTGTGAGGACAAAGCACCTCCTTGAGCTCCAAGCATTCCCGAATTCGATCTCAGAAGTTGAGGAGAAACAGATTGGGACCCACCGATTGGAGTAGGCTGCCCCGACGGAACCATATTATCAAGAAATACAATCTAGGCAAAACTTTCTTTTTCAGAAGTAGTGACCTACCCTAAAACAACATGAATTGAACTTATAATCCTAAACTCACAGAAAAAAGCGACTTAAGTCAAACATAGAGGTGGACTTAGTTATCATTTCAACTCCACGTCCAAGGCTAGAGACTACTGAATCCTTATTGTTGTGGTGTGTCAACAAAGACGAGTATCTTTTATGCAGCCTAAGCATGTAGAGCTGCGTGTCACCAAACACAAAGTAGGCATGAACCAAAGGACAACCTTCACTCTTGTACATTCTAGAGCAGCAGCTCTATCCTCTGGAAGCCAGCTGGTTTCTGAGCTGCTCTCAGCATGCAGAGCTCTGCGAAATATGGAAACATTTTCAGATCTCAGTTTTGCCGCCCAAGAATTCAGCTGTCACACAAATAATGAGTAATCAAGGAAACTCTATAGCAGTGATAGAAACTCGAAATCTTAAACCCCATCCCAAAGAGAGAACATTTAGCAGAACCCAGATGAAATTCCCTGATAGAAAAAGCTTATTCGCCAGCAGAAAATAGCTCAAATTCGAATCTGAAAATTCTTCGGCTGAGAAAATTAAGTAGAGATGGGAATACAGAAGAAATCGAAACCTCCATTGAAATTGAGATGAAATTGATGCTTAAATCATATACGTCAAGCAACCGGAGCAAACTTGATCAGACGTCCAAACTTATGAATCAAATGAACCAGAACTCACTTCCCAATGCGTTGGGGGAAAGAAGTGATTGAAAAAGTGAATGTTGAAAAAGCAAAGAAATGGTCTTGAACTAAGAACAGCTGAAGAATACCTTCACAGAAAGATGCGCACACGAAAACTTACCACAAGGAGACTCACTGTAAGCCGCAAAAGCTACTCTTTTTAATCAATATGTCTCTCCACCAAAAATCTTTCCAAGATTTTCCCCTATGCTAATCCAACTCTTCTTCCTTTTCTCTCTCTCCCAGTATTGAAAATACACTATTTTCACGGTTATGGAAGCAAAGCTCTAAACTTTCTGTTGCTCCCTCTTGCAATCCACTAGGGTTTGCTTCTCTGCTCTCGGCGGGGCGGGGGAAAAATCTGGGTTTCTCTCTCTATCACTGAGTATATTTCTTTTGTGGGTTGTGTTTCGCCCGGTTTTCTTCGCTGTATCTAGAGAGAGAAAGAAATGCGTCTAGAGAGAGAGAGGGGGAGGGGGAGAGAGAAAGTATGTGTATGGTGTCCTTGCGGACGTCAAAATTGGATTCAATCCGATCGAATTTTTTTCTTCTTCTTCTCCCTTCTCATTCCCCCTTTTTAACTTATATTTTTCCTTTTCTTTTCGTCTCTTTCTCTCTAAAACGAAGTCAAATGCTCTTCCACTCTCCTTTCTTTCGTTCCCTTTTCTGCTCTAGCTTCCATCATGATGTATGTTTGGCCATGGATGTATGGATAGATGGACCTATGGATGTCATGCAATCATTAAAAAAAAATCAAGTCCATCGTTGTGATTCTGGTCCAACCTTATCAACCCATTCGACTTGATTTATTAATTTGGATGGATCTAAAAGCTAAATAAGGTTGTCAAACTGAACTAAGTCACCAGTCGATTTAACAAGTGATTTGAGGTTTAATGGTCGAATCGGATTTTATCAAGTAGGTTTTATCATGTGTTAAATGCATAGGATATCACTTAAGTTTAATTTTAGCTGGATTACATGTAGACCACCTTAGTATATTTTGTTGTAAATAAACCACCTAAATCTAACTTTTGTTGCACCGTTAATTTTTCCTTCCAAAACTTAACAACAGGTATGAAAATATAATTTTCCAGCTGAATCACTTGAGCAATTAGCCAATTATGATCATCACTACTGTAATCCTCCAAAACCACTACAATTATGACCATCACCACTGTAATCCTCCAACACCACTGCAATTCAATTCTGGACCTCTTTTCTCCAACGATGTCACTTTTTACATAAATCAAAGATTCTGAACCATCGCAAGATCAATCCTCTCCCCTGTCCATTCAAATATATTAAAAGTTTAAAACTCACCACATTGCCCAATCAAATTCCATCCTCGGCTCGTAATTTGCTATCTATGGCTCACTCACTAGAGCTAGGGTACCAGCCAGAGTAGCAGCCAATTCACCAGCATCCTCGACTTGGTATTAATTGCGATTATTCGAACACAAGTTTGCGAGATCCAATATTGGAGCTTGTTGGCAAGTTCCGTTCGACAATCGATGAGAATTTATCGAAGTCGTGAAGAATCAAAGCTACAATTGATTTACTGATAGACCAATAATTACACATGTTTTCACCCCATTCTGAAGCCGTTTGAGATGTGGATTCTAGTGTTTTAAGCCGATTTCACGCCAGGGTATGTGTTTATGTCATATTTCAGGTCCCGGCGTTGGAATCGAGGCGGAGGAACGATTTCTGGGTCGAAAGGAGTGAAGTTGGGACAAAGTAAGCCGCAGGAGGAAAATACCCGGTCAGGTGGCAAAATACCCGACCGGGTATTTGTCGTTTTCGGCCCCGTGAGAAGCAGAGGGGGGCCCGAGCAAAATGGCTAAAATCCCCGGTCGGGGATTATGGAGAATGACCGGGGATTTTCCCTTAAGTGAAACGGTGCGCTGCGATAATACCCGGTCGAAACCCAACATACCCGACCGGGTATTTCGACCGGGTATCGCGACCAGGCAGTCAATTTAAGGAGAAAGAAGGCCAACATTGAAGGGTTCCGAGTTTTTGAGAGAGAAAGCGATACCTAGAGAGAGAAAGCGACGAACCAGAGTTCCCAAGCGCCATAGATCGATCTTCATCACCATTGGAGCCCGGCTTGAGCTTGGAGAAGTGCGATTAAACGTCCAGGAGCAGAAATCCGTCTTCACAGTATGATTTCCGCGTCTGAATCTGCTTTTGCTTCTTTATCTATGGAGTAGTTCCCCCATTCATCTGGGTATGGGGAACCCTAGATTCGTATGCTAGGTCTGATTGTATGAACCCAAGTACAGAGTTTGTGAATTGATTATATTCGATTGAGGTTTGAATGATTGAATGACTTGAATCCTGATCAAATTCCTGTTGTTTCTGCTTTGACCTAGAATGAGAATATCTGCCTAGGTTGATAGAGTATCCTTAATCGAAGGTGGCGAATTGGTGACTTTAGTCGAGGAGCCAATTCGCTATTCTGTACCGAATTCAATTCGGTAGTGGAGGTTTGGTTCGTTAGGGCCTCAATCTGTTTACTCCGGTGGAGGTTAGTCGCCCGCTAGAGACTCAGATTGAGAGGGTCTGGAGACCTTTAGTCGAGACTTCAGGCTAATTAAGAACCTTCCGCAGTATAACTTTCATGAAAACTGAACTTGGTAAATTGCAATCCGACTTAACTGCAGTCTAGGGGGATCCATATCCGGGTGATCTCTCTTGACTTGACAACAACCGTTTACTTGCTTTGTGTTTTTGTTTGCTTGAGTTGCACTAAAAGTTCACTGCTAAATAACGAGAATCCACCGAGTAGTCATCACATCTAGGACCCGGGTTGACAATAAAACCCAAACCCGCTATACTACGCTTTAGGAAGTGGTTACACTTGGCCATTTTCTAGAGTGACAGTAGGAGTGAGTCAAGTTTTTGGCGCCGTTGCCGGGGATGGCTAGGTTGTTGAAGAAAAGTGATTTCTGTTACTTTAGCACTTTCATTTTCGCATTGATTATTTGTTCTTTCCCACTTGTGCCTTCACGGGTTTGCATTGCTTGATTGTGTGCAGATAGTGCATGACCCGTAGCCAGTCGGGAGGTTTACTGCCGTTGAATCCTGAGATTGAGCGCACTTGCAAACAACTTCGGAGACAACAGCGAGCTAGACTGGCTACGGTGGAGCGCAGAGACGGCCAATTGAGCAGCGACTCCGAGGACGAGTACGAGATGGAAGGCGATCAGAACCCACCTCCTCAGAACCAGATCCTGGGGAACGACCCAAATCCCCAGGGAGCTGGGAACCATCATCATCCACCACCACCGGGTCCCACCTTGGAGTACTACTACACTCCACGGATTGCTGACATCCGCCCGGTCATCCTCTATCCACCCATTCCTGCAAACAACTTTGAGATCAAGCCATGCTGGATTCAGCTCATCACATCCTCTATCCAGTTCCATGGCTTGAAGGATGAGGAAGCCCGTGTACATCTTTCCCGTTTTCTGCAGCTGACGAACAGGTTCAAGCTGAACGGTGTCCCGGATGACGCAATCCGCCTTCACCTGTTTCCCCATTCTCTGGCGGGGAATGCTAAGAGGTGGTTGGAGACCCAGCCCCCATTGTCCATCACTTCTTGGGACGATCTGGCTGACAAGTTCGTGCACCGGTACTATCCGGCATCGAAGACTACAGAGATTCAGCGGGAGATCACTCACTTCCGCCAAGAGCCAGATGAGTCACTTCGTGATGCATGGGAGCGGTACATGGGATACTTCTGGCAGTGTCCCCATCATGGCTTCAGCGATGCTTTCACAGTGGGGAACTTCTACAGTGCCCTCACCCCCGACAGCCAGAGGGTGATTGAGTCTCTATGCCCAGGAGGGGATATCCTTACTAAGACTCCACCCGAGCTGAACCAGATGATCAGTACCTTGGCTGCCCGAGATCATTCTTGGGGACAGAACAATAGAGGCAGGAATTCCCGGGACCGGGGTGTGCATGCTATGGAGGCCAGGTCCGGGTTAGAGCAGCAGGTGGTTGAGTTGGTGCAGACATTGAAGCAGCCTAACAGCCTCCTTCCGGGCCGAGGTGTAGCTACGCCTCCAGTAGCTCTGTGTCAGTGGTGTGAGAGCCCAAATCACCTGGTGGAGGATTGTCAATCTATGAGGGAGTCCTCTACTCCCGAAGAACAGGTGGACTTCATCACCAATGCTCGGCGCCTGGACCCGTACAGCAGTACCTACAATGAGGGATGGCGCCAGCATCCCAACTTCGCATGGAGCAGCAACACCAACAAACCACCTGGTTTCCCAGCACCCGCAGGTGGTTTTCAGCAGAGGCAGTCCTTCCAGGCTAGGCAGGGGCCACCACCACAGCAGCAGCCCTACCATCCTAGGCAGGGGCAGCCATTCCAGCAGCCCCAGGGCCAGTTTGCTCAGCCTCCAGCAGCCGCAGCTCCCGATAATCAGATGGCTGATCTGAAAAATATTTTGGCGACATTCATGACCACCAGCCAGGCGAATTTCACGAGGGTGGACCAGAGCATAGCCTCACTGGAGGCAGGCCAGAGAAACCTGGAAGCAGGACAGAGGAACCAGGGTGCTATTCTGCAAGATCTACAGCACCAAGTCGGTGTCCTAGCGCGCCAGCTTACTGCTCGGGCCCCGGGGACTCTACCTGCCACCACCATCCCCAATCCACGGGACCCGCACGAGCAGCTGGATGCCATTTTCACCAGGAGCAGCATGCCTACATCAGTTGATCCTGCCCCGACCAGGCAGGAGGAACCACTACCTCCTTCAGCACTTCCAGCCGGTGATGCAGAAGTGCGGGTGGAGAAGGAAGCCCTTGCTCCCAAGCCACAACCAGTGGTTAAGGAGCATGTACCCCAGCTTCCCTTCCCCACTCGCCTACACAAAGACAAGCTGGAGACTGAGTTTTCCAAGTTTATGGCAATGTTGAAGCAGCTCAACATCAGCGTACCATTTGTGGAGGCACTGTCGAAGATGCCCAAGTACGCGAAGTTCATGAAAGATCTCTGCACCAACAAGAAGAAACTTGGGGATCTCTCGACAGTGCTGCTGAGCGAGGAGTGTTCTGCTGTCCTGCAGAACAAGCTGCCTGAAAAGCGCAAAGACCCAGGGAGTTTCACTATCCCTCTTACTATTGGCAGCATGCATGTAGGAAAGTCCTTGGCGGACCTAGGCGCTAGCATTAATGTCATGCCGTATAAACTGTTCAAAAAGCTAGACCTAGGTGAAACCTAGCCCTACAAGGATGAGCATTCAGCTAGCTGATCATTCCGTGGTGCATCCTAGGGGTATCATAGAGGATCTGCTTGTTAATGTTGGTGCATTCACATATCCTGTTGATTTTGTTATCCTAGACATAAATGATGATGTGGATGTACCTTTGATTCTGGGTAGACCATTTCTTGCCACCGCCAAGGCATTGATTGATGTGCATGATGGTAAACTGATTCTGCGTGCTGGAAATGAACAGACTACTTTTTCTGTGACTGAGTTTGATCACTGTGCTATGATTGCTGTCACACCTGTGCATGCTATTTCGGACCAGGTACACGAGCTTGTCGTGTATCCTTCTGCACCTCCCATTTTGCAGGACCCCCCTCTCACTCCTTCGCCGCCGCTCCCTCCAGCCTCACCACC